CACTTTCAAAGATTAACATTCTAAACCTTTCCTTAAAGTGAGATCAGAGAACTATGCTGCTCTATTAATGGAACATCTCTTGATCTATTTAACAAAGTCTTTCAGGTATACAGGTGGCCAGTGGCGGCCGGTGGTCCTTTTTTTTGGTGGGGCTCTTGACGTACCGTAAGTGACCTACCCGGGGGGTCCGGGGGGTTTCCCCCCGAATTTTTTTTTCGAGAAATGACCCCTTAAATGATGACTTCTGGTGATGTTAGAGGGGGGGGGAAAGGAGAAATCGAGGCTTAAAAATATGAGAAGACTGATCAATACCTCCATAATCTTCAGTGTGGAAAATATTATTTATCAACCTGAACATCTACTACTTTACCAGGAATTTGTGTTCTCAGAACTGGTCTGTTTTTTTCTTTCTTAAAACTGTTCATGTTTTATGAACCAACACCTTCACCAAGTAGCTTTACAGTGAACTGCATGTGAGATATAAAATTAATAGCATCTTTTCAGTAGCATTAATTATAAATATTTAAGTGGTTCAATACAAGTCACTACAGCATTTCAAACTGAACTGTGAATAAATGCAATTTAAAAAAAATAACCACAGCACAAAATGTCATAAATTGTGTTTTTTCTTTGTTTCTCTGAGGATTATTTACAAACAGGCTTATTTACATATAGCAATAACTCAGAAATGAAAAAGCTACATCGTCTAACACGAACAACCAGTTAGCATAATGATAATATATGTGTTATGTACAATGTAACTGGCAAGGCTAGAGCAAGAAAGAACATAAAGTTTGCAAAAGGTTTAAATAACTTCAAGTATCTGTCTTCAGATTACGTGGAGGTTTTAGTCCGATGGGAAGCAGATTTTAAGCGACACCGAAGATAAACCAAAAATGTGGTGGAGCTGCAAACCGTGTAGTGTTGCTGGGACAGAACAGGAGCTATAACCGTTGGAAAATACATCACAGACAATGCAACAAACGTGGAGACAGAACAATCACTTCTGTGATAAATGCCCACTTATTAATAAACTTCTAACAACCATGGGAAACCTCCTCTCTACATATAAAGTGATATCCAAGCATGGGAAACAAAAGACAGCATTTACCTGTTTGCATCCAGCTAGCCAAGCCTTTCTTGTGTACCAGCTACTTGTGAAGCCTTGTGTATACATTTTGTCTTTTTCACGAGATTGCTGCGATATATTCAAATCGGGTTGGTCCGGTGCAAGGTCTTTAAGCAACAATTTATCTGCCAAACTTCTCCTTTCGAAAGGATTGGAGATTAGCTCTTGAACAGAATTAGGCGGGGACCGAGGTCCGGAGACTCCACCTGCACACGAAGCCATCCTCATCAACTACTGCGTCAACCGGATACGAGTCACTGTCCAAACTACTCACAGACTGCACTGGGCGCTGACATTGGCGCCCGGTGACCGTCATCTTTGACGACGCTGATTGGCTGAAATTATATTTTCGCGGCATAGTTTACACGTTACAGATAGCAACAGTCAGCTGCTGGTGGCTGCTGCTGCACTGGTTGAAGGCTCCTCTCTTAGCGCCCAGACGAGAGAAGGTGCATGGGCAAGGCCAGGCAGGAAACATGTGACTTATCAGTAACTTTAGACATCGTAACACAATTTTAAACGAGATTTTATTGTAGATTATACATTTTACTGATACCAATTATATAATATTTACCTTGTTCATTAAAAATAAAAATAAAAACATATATATTTTTTTAAACATATATATTTTTTTTAATTTTAATTTTAATTATTTATTTTTTTTTTTTTTTTCAATATGGGAAGAGGTGGGGCGGCGCCCCTAGCGCCCCTATGGACCGGCCGCCACTGCAGGTGGCTGTCTCTCGCGCTCTGATCGTCTCACCACGGGTGTAGCAGGCAAGTCCGGCGGGACCGGAGTACACAGAACCACTGGCTCACTTGCAGGAGGTCCTTCTTGCTCGATTGTCACTGGAACCACAGTGTCTCTGTTGGAGTCCAGCACCGGCTCTAAGGGCACGGTGTCTGTTAATCTGGCTCTTACTTGATCCACATGCCGCTTCGCGACTTGACCACTTCCAATGATCACTGTATATGACACTGGACCTGATGAGCTCTCGATGACCGCAGCGATCCATTTAGGTCCATAAGAGTAGTTTCTGATGAACACTTTATCCCCAGGTGAGAAACTTCTCAGTTTCCTGTTTGTGTCATGGGACTGTTTCTGTTTTAGTTGTTTTTTGCTGCACTCTTGTTTTCACATCTGGCAGGAGCAGAGGCCTGTACTACGAAGCCGGATTTTTGCTTAGCCGGCTGACTTCAGGGAAAACTCGGGCTTTCCGGTCCTACGACGCTGGTTCTCTTTTTAGCGGGCTAAATCTCCATGGTAACTTATGCTGAGCAGCTAACCTCCCCGGGAGGAGGTTAGGTTGCAGGCTAAGAGATTAACTCAGTGAAAGCACCGCCTGCTGACCAATCAGAGCTCCGTGTGTGCGGAGTTTAAAGCGATCAAGTCATATTATTGATAGAGGAAATACAGAAAAACTGCCGTTGCAGGAAAGACGGCCGGCAAAAATCAACTGACTGTGTGAACGTGAAAATTAATAGAATATCCCCTCCCATCTTCAGAGCAATCTGACTATTATAACATTAGCGTTAAGAAAGCTTACTTAAATATCTGCCACAACATAAGTAACCGGATCAGAGTAACATTAGGCCTATTTGAAACAATAGTAGGGGCTTTTACCAGCTCGCCAACTTACAGGCATCATAGCAGTATGAATAGCCTTAAAAACCCAACCCACTCTGCGGTAACGAGAGTCATGTATCTGAACCAAATGCCCTAAGTGAAGCCGTTAGTCTCATCTGACTGACCCAAGGGTTGGTGCTGGTGTGACAGGGAGGCTTCCAAGTGTTCATAGCAGATGTCATGCTTTCAGTTCATGGCTCAGTGGGGGGGAGCAGACCCATGTGAGACAGTATCAACGGCTGTAATGTTCAGTTTGAGGAGTGTCATTCTCTCTGGGAGCAGGAAATGGTGTCCATTCTCGGACCACACCATTAATGTCATGTAGAGCAGCCATAGCATCTCTGTGACTGCACTCAGCCGGACTGCAGCAGGGCAGAACTGGGTGACTTTTTAGTGAAGCCGTCCATGGCCATAGACAAAATGGAACCACGTACTAACAAAAGGGACACAAGGTCATCAATGTCTCTCTTTACCTTTAGCCTAATTGTAAAACAAATTAGTGGAAGAAATGTGGAACCCTAATCCATCATCATGTGAAATTTAGAGTTAATTTAAATAATTACTTATGGGTTGAAGTCAAATTAACATTAGAACTAAAGTCAGTCAAAATTGGACGTGCACGGATCAGAATCTAATCAATACACCATTTTCCCAGCTCTGTAATGAAAAGGATATCAAGATTAGGTACATTATAGGAGTGATAAAACATCCAAACATGCACACTTATCTTATTCTAGTAGAGATTAGAGGACAGGTCTAATGTTTGTGAACAAAATGATCAAGTCAAAGTTATTTTATTTATTTTATCTTATGTACCACATTTAATTTAATAATGAATCTTAAATTACTAATAACTTTAAAGAAGGCAACAATTTACAATGTGGATAAGGTGACTACTTATCCAAAGTGTGTGGGTGTGTGAACAGCTTGTCTGCCCAAGGTTAAAACATTTGGGACAGCAGTGAGAATGTTATGAGAAACAATTTGTTGCTTAGACTGAACTCGAAAGAAGCTGAGATTAGAACATTTTAAATAAATCAAAACACTTGCACCTTAATTAAATACATTTGACATTTAGCTTGAGCTGGGTTCAATACTTTCTTTATGGTATTTAAATTGGGCTCAAGTAGAACCTTTACATGGATTTGGCTTGCAACACAAAGTGATACCGATCTCTGTCTGTTATGATTTGAAAGTCTCATGATTTAAAGTGTAGGCCTGTGAAGGAGAGGCCCTTGGAAAACAACATCTACTTTTTTTAACTGTAATTACTTATTGTAAAGAGATTGCAACATTATACTTTTTAAAGAATTGCTCAATTCATTTAACACATTTATTATGCACACTGTAATGAAAACGTCAACAAATATATTGATCCTGGCTTAACCAGCGACCTTTACTCTTTTGTTCATAAGCTCGGTTTCAGAAAACTTGTCAGTAGTTTAACAACTATTAGAATTGTAGTAATGTCTATGGAGACCAATTGGTTGATACGAGAAATCATTTGAAGCAGTTTAATAAAGAATGTTAAACTATATTTAAAACTGTAATTAAAACTTCAACTTATATTAATTATCTGATTCCAGTGGCCAGTTGGAACAGATAATCAACAAAGTTTCCATTTTGCAGCAACAGCGCAAAATGTTTCAACAATAATTTGTATTATGTCTGAGTCTAGTTCTGTCTTATCAGCTTTGTTTCGGAATGTGTTCAATACATTACGTTTTTTTTCATTATTACCATACAATACATAGATTTAAGAATAAATGAAACAAATAATACAACATTGACCTAAAACAGCAGACAGATTTTGCCACCCTGACCTCCTCAGGCAGGTCTTTACGACCAGCAGTGATGCCTCTGAGGGTCTCAGGGTGCAGGACGGGGCATAGGGTTTATAAAAGGTCACAAACATATCTTAACATACCAGCAATACAATTTAAGAATGTATTCTTAAAGTAATATAATCTTCTCTTCTTCTTACACCTACAGCGCACACCCTGAACAGTGTGCTCCTTGTTTACATGTTCCTCTGCACACTCAAATGCAGGACATACAAACACTCTTTTGCTATTTATTTTCATTTGCAGCACATTTATACTACCAGAATTTTGCAAAACACTATATATTATTTATTTTTCTCAAGTCATTTACTTTTGGTGAGTTAACTAAAGCTTAGTTTATTTTACCCTGGCTATGGACTGATTCATTATTAGTTGTTACAAAACATGCACAAGACGGCGGTTAGTACAAGAAAAACCACACTGCAATTAGACGAACAAACATGAACTCATAATAAACACCAGCGCGACAGCAAAGTTCATCCAGCTCAATTTAGTCCGGATTAAAGAGGTTTCAGAGGGTGTATACAAGTCCTAGATCGGTGCCTGAAGACCGTCCAAGAGCAATAACTAGCTTATCCTCTTGCGAACCCACTATCCCTGTTCTAGTGGTGCTATGCCCCCCCCGATCAGGAGCACATAGACTTTTTTCTCCTCTACCCTTTCTATCCGAAACTACACAGTTAACTGTAGTCCTACTCGACCAGCCTATACACACGCCATCATGTTCATCACAACGATGAAACACAGTTTTGTTCTACACTTGCATGCCACTACCCACCCGTGATCAATTAGCCTATAATTTTATGTATGCACCCCGGACCGGCACCAGCTCCTCCAGCAATGTAGGGAGCTGTGGCGCATCAGGTAATGCATGCACCTCGCACTTGCCAGCACGTCGTAAACGGCCACAAGCCACGAGAGTGCTTTTAAACCGTCTCGTTTTTACTAGAGACGGCGGTGGTGTGAGTTAAAGCTATAGACAAAAGCTGTGATTTTCTCCCTCTGAGTTCACTTCACCAGCTCATGCAGATACGGGGAGGTATTTTACACACATCCCCCGGAGCCGCAGCTGGAGCCGTGTTTTTTTTAGAGGCGCTGGGGGTAATATCTCTGGCTGCTTGTGTTAACTGCTAGTGTTGGCCGCTGAAACCCCCGGAATCTCGGCGATTTGTTCATTACAAATCTCTATTTTGATTTCACACAGAAGTTCCACTTTACTGCTGCCCTCATTAAGGTCTTTTTAAACATCTCCGTGACATACGTCCCGAGCAGCACACACAGAGGGAACCAGCCAAGACAGAGTCCCTGGATGATCCCCTGGGGTTTCCAGCCCCAAATGTTCATTAACCAAAACGAAACGCAGCCGCTTAGCTTCACAGATAATTTTAGGATACCGTCAATCACAGATTCTGGTAAGGCAATGTCCAAATGTAGATTTGAAATCACACTTACCAGTTTCTGAAGATCTGTTGGTATCCTGCCGACAACGCCAATTTGTGGAGGAAACTTCTGTGTAGCAATGCATGGAGTCACCGACTCAGGAAGGAGACACGGTGAGAGTTGGAGCTTTGATGTCAAACACTGATGGGTTTATTCAGAGTATTCGGCCGGAGGATTCACATCACAAATCAAAGAGTCAGAGGTTCTGACTACACGGTAGAGTTGCCACGTCAATTCTGAAGAGCCTCTCTCTATGTTAGACCTTTTAACTGGTTCACAGAGAATCAACATCTCTGAAGGAGTAGACTAAACAGCTGGGAACACTGAGCCACCTGCGTCCGACACTCATGGCCTCAAAGATTTCACATCTTAGAGTCCACAAACACCGATAAGGAAGTGCCTCAGCGTTCTCACAACAATTACCATTCGTGCCAGACAAGTTGACCGGTCACAAACTGGTGACAATAACACATATGGCACCAATGCCTTTCCTTAAAGGAGATAACAGACGTCAGAGTAGATCATAAAACGTCACAGAGCAAAAGGTTAGATATCTAGAAGAATTTTTCCTTAACATTAAGTACAGTCCGCGGCACTGTGAGTGCAGACGTCGATGTGTCCCATTATCATTCATATCATATCACATCATAATGTATCATATATTTCCTTATCTGAGTCAGCTTCTTGAGCCGTATCTGGCCGTGCAACACTCACAGTGTCACATACTGTATGCAGAAGTATTATTTTAAGCAACACATTAAGTTGACAAAACACTCGAGTCAAATGTAATTAAAGTCAGATCCACTCGTGTCTTGGACGGGGCAGTGATTTCATAAACCTGTTAATGTACGCATTCCAACGCTTTTTCTGTTACCAGCTGTATTCACCTTGCAGGTGCAGCTATGTGGCTTTTATCCTGGATAAAGTGTTTAAGTCATGGATGTTTAAAGTTTAACTTCTTCATATTTGACTAATATTAAAGTTCACTTTTCATTCAGGAAGTATGACGCTGCGCTGTCAGTACGCTTGTCCATGTTTGAGATTGGTCGAATGCTCCAAATACCACCCCTTTCATGTGAACGCGCACCTAACTAGATAGGACACGGCTGGCTTGAGCGATCCACTTGATAACCAGCGTCGTAGTACAGTTTAGCGAGAGCGCGTATGTTTTGGATTGGGCCAACTGGCTAACTCAAACATATCCAGGTTAGGAAAATCCGGCTTCGTAGTACAGGCCTCAGGTCTAATGCAGATCTGAGTCTCCTTGACATCATCAACTCTGCAGGCGACATGCCTGTGGTCGCGTGAGGTGTGATGCGGTAACTGAACAGAAACCTTGACAGCCTAGTTTGCAATGTTTCACCTTTCATCTTTTTCATCCCCCCTTTGAAGGTTTGGACCGCCCTCTCTGCCAGCCCATTAGAAGACGGGTGAAATGGTGCTGACCTCACATGGCGGATGCCATTTTGTTTCATGAAAGTCTCAAATTCAGCACTTGTGAAACAGGTTCCGTTGTCTGACACCAACATTTTTGGCAGTCCAAAAACACTGAAACTCTGACGCAGCTTTTCAATGGTCACCTGTGATGTAGCTGACTTCACTGGATAAATATCCATCCATTTTGAGTGAGCATCCACTATCAGTAGAAACATCTCTCCCAGGAAAGGGCCTGCATAGTCCACATGAATTCTCGTCCAGCGAGACTCCGGCCACTCCCAGGGATGTAATGGTGCTGATGGTGGTGACTTGTGGTGCTTTTGGCACTCCTCACAAGACTGCACTTCCTTTTCTACATCCTGGTCCATCCTCAGCCACCATACATAAGATCTAGCCAGACCTTTCATCTTTGACATGCCGGAATGTGTTTGGTGCAGTACTTTCATTATCTTTTCCCTGCCTTTGTTTGGTACGATGACTCTGGCTCCCCAGAGCACGCAGCCATCCCTCACATTCAGTTCTTCTCTCCTCTGATGATACGGCTTGAGAGGAGCCTCAGTCACTGAAGGCCATCCCGACAGGACATAACCATGAACTTGAGACAATATTACATCCTTAGCTGTCCAGTGTTTTATTTTGGCTGTGTCCACGAGTGTGTCATCCAGAAGATCAATCATGAGCACTTGTTCTGCGGTCTCACTCTCTCGCACATCTTCCGACAGCGGCAGTCTGCTTAATGCGTCCGCATTAGCGTTGTTCTTTCCTGGTTTGTACACAATGTGATACTCATAGGCACTCAGGTGCACTGCCCATCTCTGAACTCTAGGGTAACCCATCTGTGGAATGGGTTTCTTTTCGTTGAAGAGAGAGATCAGTGGCTTGTGATCTGTATAGATGGTGAAAGTTCGACCATACAAGTACTTGTGGAATTTCTTGATTCCAAATATAACTGCTAAGCCTTCTTTGTCTAGCTGTGAGTAATTCTTTTCAGCAGGCGCTAGGGTACGCGACATGAACCCCAAAGGACGTTCAGTTCCATCGTCCATTACGTGTGATAAAACAGCGCCCACCCCGTAAGGTGACGCATCACATGACATAATTAACTCTCGGTCAGCAGAGTAATGCACCAACACTTCTGCTGAGTTTAACAGGGCCTTTGATTTTTTAAAAGCCTCTTCCTGTTTCTTTTGCCATCGCACATCTTGTCGCAGGAGCTCATGCAGTGGTGCCAATAGTGTAGCTAAGTTTGGCAGAAATGTGTTATAGTAATTTAGCAAACCTAAGTACGACTTGAGTTCAGTAACATTTGTGGGGTTGGGAGCCTCCATGATGGCTTTGACTTTCTTTTCCACAGGGTGAAGTCCCTGTGCGTCCACTCGATGTCCCAGATATTCCACTTCCTCTTCCAGGAAAGTGCACTTGCTCCTTCTCAGACGCAATCCTGCCTCCTCCAGCTTTGCCAACACTGTCTCGAGGTTCTGCAGATGGTCTTCCTCATCCACACCGCTCACCAGGATGTCATCTAAATACACTGCCACAAAAGGAATGCCTCGCAGGAGACCTTCCATTGTCCTCTGAAATATAGCTGGGGCTGATGCTACTCCAAAAGGCAGTCTGTTGTATGTGAATAAGCCTCTGTGCGTATTCACTGTTAAGTATTTCTTTGATTCATCATCCATGAGTATTTGCTGGTATGCATGACTCATGTCCAACTTTGTGAACTGTTTTCCTCCTGTCAGTGCTGCAAACAGGTCTTCCATTCGGGGTATGGGGTATTGTTCAAGTGAGGAAACTGTATTTACAGTGAGCTTGTAGTCTCCACATAGCCTTACTGTCCCAACAGGCTTCAGTATTGGAACCACTGGTGCTGCCCATTCTGCATGTTTAACAGGTGAGATTACTCCTTCTTTCAACAATCTGTCTATTTCTTCATCTACTTTGGTGCGCATGGCGTACGGGACAGACCTCGGACGGAAGAAACGAGGGACTGCATCAGCCTTTACATGGATGGTGGCTTTCATACCTTTCAGTGTGCCAAGCTCCTCTTTGAAGACATTTTCATGTTTGCTCAGTACTTGCTGCAGCGATTTGTCCTCTGTCTTCAGGTGTTTCAGGACTTGGGATTTGTGTCTGAGCTTGATTTTTTTCCAACTCAGATGTATTTCCTCCAGCCAGCCTCTTCCCAGCAGGCTGGGGCCGTCCCCTTTAACCACAATGAGGGGCAAGTACCGCCTTTGATGTCTGTATTTCACTTTAACAAGGGCAGCTCCGACCACATTAACAGGGTCACCTGTATAAGACTCGATGTGGATTTTGGTTGGTCTCAAACATGGACTTTTTGTGTCTTTCCATAGTCTTTGAAATGTCTGTTCATTCATTATTGTGAGACTACAGCCAGTGTCTATCTCAAAGTTAACAAACTTACTATCCAGCTTCACTTCAACCATGTATGGGTCTACTCGTCTCAGGTGCACTTCACTCATGCGTCCCAATCTGAACCTCATCTTATTCAGTAAGAATGTATCTTCTTCTGAGCTATCACTTTGGCTCCGTTGCTCTTGTACTTTATGAGAACGGTGATATGTGGTTTGCCTCCTTTCTCTCTTTGGGTCTGCATTTTTGTTGCTGTTTCCATTCTGTGTAGATCTACTACGACAAGCTCTGGCAATGTGTCCTATTTTACCACATGCATGACATGTCTCTTGTTTAAACTTACAGTCTGCTGCTTCATGCTTGGTTCCCTTGCATCTGTAACACTCTTTGGTAGGTTCTCTGTGTGCATAAGCCTCCTGTGGCTTTTTATCCATTTTGAAGCATTTAGCTGTGGCCCCTTGGCTTTGTATCTCCTGTGCATTTTTATTTGCAGTCTCTGACGCCACAGCAATTGATAATGCTTTTTCAAATGTTAAATCCGCTTCTGATAAGAGTCGTCTCTGAATCCGATCTTCACTTATTCCACAGACGATCCTGTCTCTCAACCTCTGCTGCAAAGTGTTACCATAGTTGCAATCCTGCGCTAACCGACGCAGCTCAGCCACGTATTCCATTACTGACTCATTGGGCTCACGGTTGCGGGAGTCAAACTTGTACCTTTGCACAATTTCACTAGGCTTTGGGTCAAAGTGATTTTTTAGCAGCTCCACAAGTTGTGTGTAAGTCTTATCCTTGGGCTTATCCGGACTGAGGAGGTTTTTCATAAGGCTGTATGTTGATGATCCCACAACACTTATTAATATGGCTCTTTGTCTGTCTCCATTTTCAATTTCATTAGCCTCAAAAAACTGTTCCAATACCTCACAGTATTCTTCCCACTTCTGATTTTTTGCATCAAAAGGTGCCAGCGTGCCAGCGTGCCAGCGTGCCAATCATTGCCATTGTGTGTCAATGAATCCTCTCCTCCACCCGCAGACTTTGCTAATAATTTGAGCTAGCTGCCGCTAACGACCCAAACCTGCATGTAAGGTGCTAACCAGTCCGTTCGGCATGTCCTCTTTGATCCCGTATTGATCCTTGTCTTAATCCTCTTCTTAATCCTCGTCGCCAATAATATGTTGTATCTTGTGATCAATAATTGTATGTCCACAACATAGGAGTAGATTTAACTGGTTTTACTCATGGATGTATAATAAGAACTGGATACAGCGTGGGAGGCGGGGCCTCATTCATTCCTATGAGAGTTGCTCATTCGCGCATGATGATAAAATGGCCCAACTTTTGAGAGAGCGAAACGTCACAGATTACCCGGCATGCCTGAGAAGTACCCGTATGTGCGCTCATAGCGCATGCGCAACTTTAACCATGCCCCCCAAAATGCTCGTTCACATCAAGCACGTCAATTTGCGTACACGTAACAGCACCGCACGTTCATGACAGCATGGTAATGGTTTGTTATTATGATAGATTTGATATTAACGAGGCGGCAGTTAGCAGCTAGCGGTTAGCTAGTAATTATGCTAATTTACACATCAATCGTTATGTACTTTTATATTACGCTGTAACAGGATCTAGTGATATCCAAGCAACAGAGCTTCATTTAGCATGAAAGAATTATTGCACTGTATATATATATATATATATATATCCCGTGGGTTAGATGCGCGTTCATAATGCAGAGGGAAATAACTCGCAGAATAACGTTATTAGCACATTTTTACAACTTGAGGAACGAATGTTTTTAATAAGGGCTATACAAGTGTTCATACTGGGTAGTTTATTTAGTTTAAAAAAAATTATCCAACGATTTACAGACCACTCTTTCCCCATGTAAGTCAATGGGAAAAAGTGTTTCCGGGCTTGGCAACCAAAAGGAAGTGTAGTACCGCCGTTTGGCCAGCACGAATATTTTCTTCTGAGTCCGGCGCACTTCCTGGGGGCTTGGTTTTACTTTGGTAACATGCTTCCGGGACTTCCTCGTGGGAACATGTACAACAGGCTCTTTTTAATACCAAGAGTGAGTTTGCCCCCTGCTGGACAAATGCAATAACATGTAATAATAACACAAGGTAAGATACCACATCCAGAATGTGGCTTTTCTTTTAAAATCATATTGTGACATTCTTACTGAAGAGACTTGCAATTATTTGCCCTAGACTTCTGCTTTCAGACGTAATAATTATGAAGTTATATTAATTAATGATATAGTCTTAAAGTTACAACCGGCCCTTTGAGTGCAACCATAATGCTGATGTGGCCCGTGGTGAAATTGAGTTTGACACCCCTGAGCTAGGGCAACAAGAAAATCGGCGAAATCGAGTGTGACGATTAAAAAATAAATTAAAAACATCTCATTTTGACAATAAAAACCGACCAATAGAGTGGCGAAGTCACGCCCATCTACTTCCGCCCCATGGGACCTTATTTCGGAAAAATAATGTATTGAAGTCAATGGAGATAGAAGACTTATCTTTCGATCCCGTTTGAATTGTGCCATGAATTACACATATGATGTTTGTCAATCTTAAAAAATAATTTCCATGTCAAAAAAGTCAGTTTGTCGTAAAACTGTTGAAATATAAGACGATGAAAAATACGCAACTAGAAAGACTACAAATCCCAGAGTCGCGTAAGTGATGTCACAAATGTTTTCCTCCACTAAGAGATAGCTAAGATCAGCGCCATATAGATAGAATCTATCTATATGGCGCTGGCTAAGATAAGATAACTTTAACAAGATGCCTGTGTGCTTAGTACCAGGTTGTTATCATACCAGCAATGGGTCTTGCTCATTCTTTCGCTTCCCGTCTGATGAAAGGACTAGGAGTGTCTGGATCAAGCTAGCTAGTAGCTAGCACGTTAGTTAGCATTACAGCCGTGTCATTTTTATTAGCCTTAACATGAAGTAACATGAAGTAACCCAACATGTTAAACAGTAAGAGTAGTAGTCATATTTCGTGAACCCTTTGAATAGTACTGTCACCGGTGTGATCATTCTATAATACACAATTTAAGCCCGGGGGAGAAATGCTAACGCTAACGCTAGCGATCTTCTCTACTTCATGCTATCTGCACAAATGGTTGACATTAAACATTAAAACGACCAGGCAGTTCAGAGAGCATCAAAGGAAGGCAGGCAGGCAGCTTTGCATGACATTATTCAGGACGTGTTTCATTGTGGTGATAGTGAGGGTAGTCAATCGTTTTGTTGACAGTAGTGACGGCCATCTTGGTGACGTGTGTTGTTCTGTGAGACCAGAGATGTAGTTCATTGAGCGTTTCACACAAACAAATGTGTTACTTCACAGTTTTACGACACATTTTTTATTTTTTGACTTGCAAAATTATCTTTTAAATTGACAAACATCATATGTGTAATTCGTGGCACAATTCAAACTGGATCGAAAGATAATCTTTCTCTCTCCATTGACTTCAATACATAATTTTTCCGAAATAAGGTCCCATGGAGGTCCACCGGAAGGGGAGGGACTTCGCCACTCTATAGGCGCGGTAGACCATTTGCTTGGCACTTCCGGGTATTTCTCCACTGGTTGGGCCATGTTAACAATACCGTGTAACTGTCACGTTTGAAGGGACGAAACCGTGACATATTCACGTCTCCCAGCATGGTAGATCGTCACATGTTCACGTCTTGCCGTGATACCGGGTTGATATTAATATGCCTTTCAGGCTGGCCATATCTGCATGTACTCAAAACTCTAAAACAGGGGCGCCACCTAAAGATTAATATGGATGTCACAGCTTTTACCATCCGTCTGCTGTGACATGGCAGTGACCTAATTAAATGGCTTCTAACATGAAAAGGACATTTTTATAGCAAAACAGGCACTGCCAAGGGATTAAATATATTGATTGATATCGTTTTTAATAGATAGGATTTAGCTAAAAAAAAATGACACCCATTATGTCAACATCAGCATGAAGAATTGACAGCTCATTAAGATTTTTTCTTTGAGGCGAAAAGGAGAATTTTCTGTCTCTTCCTATGTTTTTTCAGATCGTTCAGAAGCTCAGAGAGGTAGCAAGTCATGCCCGATGCCACAAATATCTGTCAGGCTGAATAGGCAAAGGGAAAGCACACGTCTAAATAACCAAAAGAATGATTCATGAACAAATTCCATTTAGCTGCTTCACATTTAGGTGCCTAATATTGTTTTGGTCTGCATTTTCATTCATCTGCAGTTCTGTAAGTTTCAATGGGTGTTTGAATCTAATAAAAAAACAGGGATCTTGTAAAATGTACGGTGATTTTGTCAGGCTAGACACTCAAGGAAAACACAGAATAGGTTCTGCAGGGTTGTTTTATTGCATATTAATGGAAAAGAATCAGCAAAAAAGTCCAGCTAAGTCCTCTTCAAATTAGTCATACAGTATAGTCACCTCTAAATTACCAGGTGTCTTTGACTCTTCATGTTGCCAAATGTAACTCTGCTCGTACATACAGGAAAATACTGGAATTATCTTTTATTTCAGTGTGTTGACCTCCTTTTCAGGCAAAGGTATTGTTGTTCCAGGCCACATTGGCTGCATCCATATCTGTAAAGTTAATGTAAATCCTGAAATAGACACAAAGAGAAATCGGATATTAAGATCAGACATTAACAGTAAGCAAGGTATGCGCGTTACACTAGTATTTCTCTATGTATGTCTGTCCCCTCCTCTTATTTCTCAGTTTGTACATTATTGTTTCCTTCTTTTATGCCTCCTCGCCTCATGTCTTAGTTCCTCCCACCTGAGATGCAAGGAGATCCGGCAAGAAAGAGACACAAAGAGAGAGGTGTCGAGGCAATGAGACATCAATGCGTGGGAGACTTAATTTTTAACAAAACGTGAATAAAATAGAACCTGATGCAAATCCGATTCAACTGTTCATTGTTTATACTGCTGTATTTAATGATCTCAGTGTTCATGACCACTCATATATTTACAAATTGTACAGATGTGTCACGCAAGTACGCAAAAACGATTGATCTTTTATTGATCAGAGTTGCTGAACATACTTCTAATTCCGACTCACAGGCAGGAGGACGGAGGAGTGTGGAGACAAGGAGGCACAACATTGAGCTTTATATGTTTCTGTTACCATGTTGCCTTTGCTTCTCACATTATTGCAGTATATGTACTGGTTGCTGTTTGTATCCTACCTGTCAGGAGAGATGTCCAGGTGTTTGTTGAGCAGTCCACACAGGAGTATAGAGTATTGCTTGTTCTGAGCACCGCTGATCTTGCCAATACTGTGAAGGGAGCAGAGTGCACAGGGGTCGCCCTTTCCTCCAAACATCATCATTTGGTCAGGGTTGATATGCACAGCAATGTACTGGTATATGCAAGAAAGAGACACAAAACTGAGGTTAGCTTACATTGGGTGAATGTGGATCAATCACAACTGTTGTCAGAGTGTCTGGTTCTTAACCTAATTGAACGTCAAACTCTATTGTAGTTTCAGCATATAGTCAATATTAAGCTAAGTAAATATATCAATTAAGGATTTTGGAAATGTTGGAGTTGTGAATCCAAATAACTACACTGCAACTCAATACCGAAGAATGTTTTTGAAAAGTGACCAAAACAAAACCATTAAAACAAATCTTAAGATTGTGTATTAAATATTTTGTGACCGTTTAAAATAGAAAAATATATGTATATAGCATCAGTTTGCTTGAAATTATAGATACTTGCTTTTAACTTGTGGGTTTAGTAAACTGACGCCACTGATCAATCATCTACCAATTCTAACAGTCAAGACTGTGTTTACATAACCTACTTGTGCAGGAAGCTAGCCTTAGAAGAGAGGCATATACCTTATTTTAGCTGCTTGTTTTTGGTCATATTGCACAAAGCAGAGAAGTTACATTTACCAAGGTAATGTATATAGGAAAGAATAAAGGCACATAGCCCCTCGGTTTCATTGAGCATCAGGATATTGTGCAGGATTAGGGTCGCCCCTGGCCTACTTTACCTGTGGAGGTTTGCCCATATATTTGGCCAGCTGCTCGGTGGCCTCGGAGAGCAAAGCCGCCGGGACATCGCTTTTAGCCACGTTGGTGTTCACTGTGAACATCGGCATGATTACTCCTTTTTATTTTTCTCCCTTCACAGGCTGCTGCTGCTGATGCGACTCCGGATTCTGCTCTGCACAGAATACAATTAAAATAAAACACTGTTCTTCCTCTGTGGTTGAGCTGGCAGACAAAGAGACCACAGCGCCTCCTTCCAGTCTGGAAGACACTGTTCTGTTCACACTCCAAACAAAACGCCAACCAAGAGAAAGTAGTTCTTTGCTATTATTTCCCAATTTACTTAACACTTTAACACTGCTGTCAAGACCACAATAAATACAAAGTGGTGCATGAAATTCTGAATGTGTTTGTTTTTCCAGGGTGCGGCTGTTCTTCAGTGTAGGGTAATTACGGTACTGGGCATGCGCAGTGTTCTCCAGCATCATTTAAGTAGAGCAGAAGGAGGCGAGAGGGAAAACAGTGGCACGGAGAGAGAGAGGGCAGAAGTTAGATGGCGCTTTCCTTTGTCACCGCGTCTCTCTGCTCATGAACATCGACCTGGCATATCTGCGATCCGTGAAATCAAACCGTCTGTCGCCGATTCGCCTCCAAATTATTCCTAATTTCATCCAAGAAACGGTACGTATACAGAGCTAAATTAGCCAGGCTGCTAACGCGATCACTTTCCTGACGGAGACGCTGCTCCTCCTCTACCACTTTTACATTACTGTGTGTCAATAACAATGCACGTTTAATAACAAGCTAACTTGTATGTGGTATTACACAGCTTAAATTAGGCATTACTAGAGTTTAAGTAAACGATAACAGAGGTGGAATAACCATGTGTGCAATCCCTGTCACACATTACGTCGATATTATGTATTGTGCAGCTGCTCACTAACTAATAAAGTTAATATTTGTACATGACATTGGCGATAGGCATAACATGGATACATGCAGTGTCTCTTAAGCTATGTATGACATTAGACTGTGTAACTTTCGTGATGGTAACACACACTGTTATTGAACCAGGTCTGAACCTGTGGCCACGATGATGCAAGAATCGGTGTCCACATTTGAGACGCATCTGACGGCTGTCATGGACGGTCTGATCCGTGCCTCGGTGTGCGAGATCTCCAAACTCTTCCAGGATATGGTGAACGACTACCTGATGGAGCTGTCCCTCAACAGGAAGGAGAACGAGGCTCTCAAACAGCGGCTGAGGCTCACCGACCACAAGCTGAGAGCCGAGCGCAAGTACGGCATGGGCTGGGCCGCGCAGCGCCGCAGCGCCGGGCTGTCGGCGGCGGAAGAGCGGGCTGAAGGGCGGCAGAAACGAAAAGTTGCGGAGGCCCGTAAGTATTGCTTTAGGATTTAGGTTTACCTTCCAAAACTAGCAGGTTTACACTACCTTTTAGTTTGTCATATATTTAGTTTGTATTTATTTCAAGTAGCCTACTGTCAGTCTTGCACAACACTCTGAATATTTTGCACATACAAAGCGACTTCATATCTGCACAGCTTTCCACTTTTGGTAACAATACTGCACATATTTCATTTAGTGTTATTATTTTTGTCATATTACCTTACCCAGTCTATTCGTGTATATATATATATATATATATATATATTTAATGTAAATATTTCTCGTCTTGTTCGTTTTTCTTCCAATTTATCTTCTTTAACTGTTTATGTATGCACCATATACACCAAGGCAGATATCTTGTATGTGTAAACCTGATTCTGATGACATTTAAATGGCACCTTGCTCAAACATTAATATTGAGTATGATCGTTTCTGTATGGTGAGAAACAGGTTCTTGTTGTTCAGTCAGGGCTTATGTGGAGACGCACTTGTTTTGTTGGAAACCATCTGGCAGGAGCTGATCTCTCCCTCCCTCCTTCCTCCTCCGCCTCCTCTTCATATTCTCTCCCTCTGTCCTTCACCTCCCCCTCTCCGCTGCATTCTGTCCCTCCCACTCCTATGTGAATTTGCACACATTCTCCCTCCCTTCCCTTCCTGCCCTGCTCCTCTCCCTCCCCCTGCCTCCTCTGTCTCTCTCCAACTCCTCCTCCCCTTCCTGCTCCTCTCTCCTTCACGCCTCCTTCCTCTCTCCCTTCCCCCACCTCCTCCTCCTGCTGTTTTTTCTCCTTCGTCACGTTGCACACACACACCCCCTTCTTTCCTCCCCCGCCACCTCCACTCTCCTCCTCACATCACCACCATAATTACACACTCCTGCTCCACTTCCCCTCTCGCTGCTCTGTCTCACTCTTTCATCTTTTCATCCTCACCCCTCCTCTGTCTCTCCTTCAACTTGTCCTCCCCCTTGTCTTCCTCCCCCTTTCCCCTATGGCCCCCACCAATTCCACTTCTCCTCTCTTCCTCACTGGCTTTCTCCCCCCTTCACATGGTTTCCTCTCTCTTGTCTGTCCTTCTACGCCCACTCTCTCCTCACTCGTTCATCATGCTCACTACTCCTCCCCCTGCTCCTTTTACTTTCTCCCTCCCCCCAACCTCTTCTCTACTCCTGTTCCCCTCTTGAATCCCCTCTTCCTCCTCCTCCTCATCTCCCTCTTCTCTCCTCTATCTCTGGCTCTCCTGGCCTTTCCAATCATCTCCTCCCACTTATCTCTCTCCCCCCCTCATTATTCATCCTCTCTCCTTCCTGTCTCCCTGCACCCTCCCTCTCTCCTGCCCACCTGCACTCTTTCTCCTTCCTCTCTCACCTCCCTCCCACCCTTCCCTTGTCTTCCTCTCTCCTCCACAGGAGGCAAGTCAAAGAAGGGCCCAGCAGCAGCCTATGGCAAACGCTGGCCTGGAGTTGTGTGGGAGGAAGGAGGAGGAGGAGGAGCTGTGGGGATGGTAGCAGGAGGAAGAGGGGGAAAGGAGGCCAGGGAGATGTACCTCATCCAGTACCCCGGGGATGAAGAGGATGAGAGAGGGATGATGGAGGACGAGGAAGGGGAGGGCAGCCTCAGCGGTGAGGGGGAGGAGACGGCCAACATCAAAGAGGAGGTGAGGGAGACAGGCTTTCTCAGAAGAGGAGGAGGAGGAGGAGGAAGAGGAAGAAGTGGCACAGCATCTCTGCAGCTTCATATAAAATGGAAAAAGAGAGATGAGAGAGTTGTGCTTGTGTTCGTCAGCCATCAAATCACCGCTGAGATGCACTTGATGACGGGAAGGATATTGATTTGATATTTAGCTTCCCGATGAGCCGCTCTCCGCCTCGCAAGTGCAACAGCTTTTAGGTAGAAAGACCACAAGTAGAGGTGAAAAGCTGTTTGCTTAAAACACCCACATGAACAAGTAGTAAGGCACATATTCCCTCTTCACTTATCTTCTGTATTTGAATATTCAAAGCATGCAGAATGTGTTGTTGGCCTCCCTGGGAAGTCATTACAAGGTGTTTTTGAGGACTGACACAGCATGGCTTTAATAACCAATCTTATTTTACGTTCAGTTAAATGTTCAGTTGGTTACTTATCACAATAACTTTTAAAAAGTCCCTTTGCCTCCTTCTGTGCTCATAATTCTATTTGCAAGATGTTCTCTACGCAAAAAGGAAAACAACCAATCAGAGGCATGTGTAACCCGATAAAACTGTCAAACTAGGCAGCAGTGATCAAATATGGAGAATATTCAGTAACTGTACTGTCTGTATACCTGACTCAACTGATTGCTTAAACAGCTAATTGTGTAGGCCTTTTTTTCATTATTACATAAACAGGAAATACAGACTGTAAAAGGAGGCGCTGTGTCGGATTTGAACCTTTTCTCCTGCAGTGAGGACTTGTTACATGGTATAATTGGTACAAATAATCTGTATAAGAAAACGCAGGTAATGGGACACTCGGGTAGCCCACCTGTAGAGCGGGCATCCCAAAATCAGCTTTTCTTTCCACAGATCATACACTGCTATCAGGTTATAGGTTATGATAGTTTGAGGGACTATGTTACCAACTTAACCTTTCAACAAGCCAATTTGAAAAAGGCATTTACACATTTAAATGTGAATTTTTTTTTATTAAACGTGGTGTTACTATTTTAAAAAATGTATATTCTCTGTGCTTCTCAATGCAGTTTTCACAAACAGAGGGCTATCGACCCGCCTCTCTCCAGCTCATCAAGGAAGCTTTGAAGATGGAAACGCCAAGCCGGAAGCGGCACACGGGCTCCAGAGCCACGAGCGAAGGTAATGAGCCGAGGACACACCTATTCAGGGAAAGAAGCAAAATGTTCAGAAGCCAGTAGTTTAAATTTAAAGTGGGAATAATATCACAAGCTTTGTCCCTCATTCTCTCTGCTCCCTTTCTCTCTACTCAGGAGAACTGTCCGATAGCCCCCCGACCCTTCATTCAGGAGAGAGGGATGAGGAGGACTGGGAGGAGGACTCGGCAGAGCCGTCGGAGGGGGGCATGACCATGGATGAGCTGAGGGGTCTTGAATCGGCACTGAGGGCCGAGAGGGGCCGCGAACAGGCGGCCATGACAGCCTCCCAGCCTCCCAGCCCCAAATCAGAGGTGGTGCAAGGCAGCGAAGACAGCCTCGCCCCGAAGTTCATTGGTCTCGATGGATTGGAGCACGACGAAGAGCTTGAGCCGCCGACTCTGCAGAGAGAGGAGCAGATAGGACCAGGCAGGTTGAAGGACGCTGTGAGGGCCGGGGGGGAGCTGAGGTGGCCCAAGAAGCTGAAGGAGGAGGAGGAGGAGGCTGCGGTCCTGACTGAGCAGGATGTGGTGGAGGAGGGACAGTCAGAGCACCTGCCCCACCTGTCTGCTTCAGGGAGTGTCGGTGAGAGTGGAGAAGAGGAGGGGGGTGAGGACCTGCTCCACTTCTGCACACAGTGTGGAGGAGGCTTCACCTCCGAGGCGGAGCTGGAGGAGCACCCATGCCCACTGGGAGCTTCTCCTTCACACAGCGGGAAGGAAGTGTTCCCGTGTGCCCATTGTGGCAACGCGTTCAGCCACGACTGGGCTCTCAAGAACCACGAGTGCGCCTGTGCCGCCGAGAGGCCGCACTGCTGTGAGATCTGCGGGAAGCGCTTCACACACTCGCGCTCACTGGAGCGACATCAAGTGGTGCACACGGGTGAGAGGCCTCACCGGTGCCAGCAGTGTGGACGGAGCTTCAGCCGGCTGGGAAATTTGGAGCGCCACCAGCGGATCCACACAGGAGAGCGTCCATACGGCTGTGAAGCGTGCGGAAAGCGCTTCAGTCGTGTGGAGTACTTAAAGAGACACCAACTCATACACACTAGTGAAAAGATGGCACTCCAGTGCTCCAACTGTGCAAGTGGCTTTAGTGATGCGGAGCAACTGAAAAACCACCAGTGTTTTTAAGAGGCTCTTCCTGAAATATATGACAGAACTGGACAGATTAAAGCAGGTTTTGAATTGAATGTTGTAGAGGTTCAAGGGATGAATGTGTCTGGTGGATGCTAGTTTTAGTGATTTGCATTGACTTGATTGAATTACCTTTAAGATAAAGAAGCAGATACATGTGTGTAATTTTTGTTGTGCAAGTGAAAAAAGCAAATGTCCAAAGTTGACAGGAAGTCAGTTGTACATGGTGTTTTCTTGAAGAAAAAAAAAAAGTCTCAGCCATTTCAATTTGAGGTGATCTCATTTGTATGTACAAAGCTCGTACTTATTTATGATAATCAATAAATTGCACATTTATTTCTTTTTATCAGTTACTTGTGTTGCCGCTGATGTCCTTGTTATTTGCCGGACAAGTTAATTGACAGCTGGGTATTTTGTATGTTTTGTGTCGGTAATATTATTAAGAAATAAATATTTAAATCCAATATAATTATGTTTTACCTTTTTCGGTTTTGATTTTTTTTGTAAAATGTTGAGGTTGGTGAACCCATTACTAGATGACTTTGACAAAATATACATTTTAAATTAGGTATATACTTATACTTAAAATATTTATATCAAATCACTATTTCGCAAGACAACATTTTGATTGAAAACGTAATAATTGAATAGTGAAGGCCTCTTTTTAAGGCTTTAAACAGGCACTGGTGGGGGGGGGGGGGGGGGGGGTATATTTACTGTGACTTTATTTAAAAAATATTTGGAAAGTTTAGCAAAAACAACTATTTGTATCACAAGTTTTTTTTTTTTACCATCTCTTGATTTGGGAATCAAGTTTTTTTAAATGCCACAAAAAAACGTGTTACGTTGGTTAAAGGTAGGGTAGGTAAGTTTGAGAAACCGGTTCAAGATCGCTAGGCTCTGTGCACAAGAAGGCTGACAGGCAGGTCGGCCATCCAGTTATTTTAGCCGGGCCGGGTAAAATGATTGGTCGTACTTTTTACAGTACTAAGATGACGTTTTTTTAATGGATTTTTTGTCAAAGCACTTAAAGGTGGGGTCGGTAATTTTGGAGAAACCAGCTCGAGTGCGCAAGAATTTGAAAATACACAGCCGGAAAAAATCTGCCACTTACAGAGCCCCTCCTCCAACACACACGAACGCGCACATGACCAATGAGGGCACGAGATAAATTTGTGCACAGATGGAAGGCTGACAGGCAGGTAGGCCATCCAGTTATTTTAGCCGGGCCGGCTAAAATGATTGGTCGTGCTTTTTACAGTACTACGGCTTCCACAGATGACATTTTTTTATGGATTTTTTGTCAAAGCACTTAAGATATTCATTGCTATGGGGATGTTAAGAGCATTCCATGGAATATAACAAAAAGTGTATCTCGAGCCGGTTTCTCAAACTTACCTACCCTACCTTTAACTACAGAACTGAACTGAATGGCTTGGTTAAATGGCATGAAGCAATTGGGGCAGAGCGCCCTCTACTGGAATGTAAGGCCTGTCCTTCTCAATGGTTCAACATCATGAGGGATAACACAAATCCTTTTTTTTTAAAACAGGATATAAGCTAACAAAAACGAATACGAAGACATTTCCATTGATTTCAATTTTTTCTGAGCCTGGCATTCACAATTTAGTTGAGCTCAATCTCGTTAAGGATACCCCTTTTAATGAGTTCCAGTGAAAGACAATACTTTTCCCTGCCTTTTTGTTATATTTTTTGTTTTCGCTTAAAACATTAACACTGCTGCATACCCTTAAGAACCCTGGTTATTATAAATGCAGATAAGATTCCCTAGAGCTACCCACCCTTTGTTACGGGAAAAAAAAGGCTTCACAGAGTCAAGAAGGTCAGAGTTGTTAGACGGGAAACTGTAGGCAGACCACAATGTACAAATGAACAGACAACCTGATATTGATGCTTTGTGCTGTGTGATACTCTCTTGCATATTCCAGAATATTTATCTGTATTTAAATTTGACGCAGCCCACCGGGAGCGACATTGTTTTCCATTACAGAAAAATGGTCACAGCAAATGTACACTTATATTTATATGTCAGATTTAAAGTTTTTTAGAGGTGTTTGCATTTTTGTGAACAAAGAGTATTTGACATAAAATAAACACAATTTGCTCCATAGAAGGCACATCTTTTGAAATCTGCTTTTATTAGTAAAATCATGAGGGTTTTTTGGTTACAGGATGACATTAACAAAAGGGGAAACTATTGATAAAAATAAAAAAACTTTAAAATCACAAGAAAATGTAAAGCATCATGAGACAATTATAATGCCCTGATTAATCAAACACTCATTCAGTAATTAAGTACAAAGACATGTGCAGTACATGGTGACTTCTTCACATCCATAGCAGCACCCAGCAAAGCTTTTCTACTGACACTGCCCATGGAACAGACTGACGGACATGGCCAGCCTTTGTGCCAGGATGCCCTCCAGAGTCTCTAAAGACATGCGCCTCACATCATAGCCCCTCTTCGAGGCTTTTGCCTTGACATTAATTGGCACAATCTCCTCCCCACTATTCGGGTCATTTCTCCCCAATGCAGCATGTGTGGGGAAAAAGGACTGCATATGGGCAGGAAGGTCAGATCTGTTTGATGGGCAGCAGTAGGCAGACCACATGTACTCAGGAACAGACACCCTGTTATTGATCCGCAGGGGTTCAGACTCATAAGGCAAGACTCCGGTGATCACATGCATCGACCCGTTGCAGTAGGCTTTGAATCTTTTTAGCACTTCATTCTCCAGACCGTTCCACGAGCCACCGTTGGAGCCCGCTCGCTGAGGGACTACGTTTGTCAGGGTGAAGGTGGCCTGGCGGTTTTCTTTTGTCTTCTGGTGCATGCTGGGATTGAGATGGCCCCTTGTGAAGTTTGAGTTCCTGTAGTCGTTGGACATCGCCTGGCTCTCAATCACATTCTGATCCAGGTAGGTAGCAAACTTGAAGGGTGTCATCTCTGAGCTGGCTCGGGAAAACACCAACTTAGAGATGGAGAGAGAAAGACATGTGACTTTTTAGAAGCTGCATTTTCTGGCTTTTTTAGTTCAATTCATTCATGTAGTTTGAAAAGTGAAACAGAACTTAGGCAACTCCATTTTCCTTTATTTCTCATCTCACAAGAGAAAAGATCAGCAATCTGTATTTAAAATTGGAGATTGGCTGCTTCTTATAAGTTAAATATTAAAACTTGCGCCAGTCACACATTGACCATTAGGACAACTAAACAAACAGAAACGTTGTCACCGCGTATCCTGAAACAAACATACATTCTAATTCGCTTACATAAGAATGCCAACACTTTAATGAATTTCTGAAATCACAGCTATTTATATTTACACTCAACATTCAAATGTGAGTTTCATGAACCAAATTAAGTTATGCTCTGTTGTAGAATAACAATTACCAAAGAGAAACCCAGCTACACTCTGCCCTTGTCAGAATACTAGTTCCTGCTGCTAATGTATATAATCAAAGTGCACAATGTATCTAAAACTAAAGACGCAAAAACACAACAGTACTGCAACAAATCCTACCTTCACAATGGTTATAACATTAAAAAAAGGCCGTTGCTAAACTTTCAGCAGATTTAATTTGGGAGGCTGGTAAACTGAGTTGCATTATACAGGGAGGTGTTGTATTCAGTCTACCCTCACTGATGAAATTGAAAATAAAAAATATTATTTCATATAATAATTATAAAAATAACAAACGAGGCTGTATGAACTTAGCATTTCCAAACAAATCATACTAAATAGTTAACGCTATTTCTTCTCAATTAAGAAATTGGCTACTCTTGTACATTGCACACTGTTTTTTTGCTTACCTGCGGCTCGTACTTCCAGGTATTATTGGGCCGTTTGCCATCTGCAAGACCGAGTCTGTACGCAGAGTACAGCGGTGCACGACTCTGCCGATGATACAGGCTGGCAAAGTGGTACTGGTTCTTGTAACGCTGGCATATTGGCTGGTATCCTGCTGAATCAATACCCTTTGGTGGGGTTTTATTGTAGAAGAAATCAAGACAATGGGAGAAGTCGTCACTGATCTCACCAAGGACCTGGCCACCCAACCAGCAGAGGAGAAGAAGCAGAGCTCCCGTGCAGAATTTCTTCTTTTGAGACATCCTGCTCAACAGATCAGTAGGTCAGCTGTACGTATGTCTTCAGGAAAGAGATGCAAGCAAACATGACATTTGTTCAGACTTCTTCTCAGACAAAGCTTTAGATTGAAATAAAACCAATATTTTGAGTGTTCATTCAGCGCCTGAAGTATTTGCCTTTGAAGACTGTCTGAGGACTGAGGTAGTCTCGTTTATACACTGAGTCAAGGAACCCTGTGATTGAGAGTGACTCCCCCCCCATTCTCATGTCAAACTTCCCCTGTAAACCAGCAGTCAGTCTTGCCTTCTAAAAAACATGGCTCTGCAAATACTTGTTTTCATTAGTCAGCTGAGGTGGACAGCTTTGTCTTTCAGTCTGTAATCATTTGGTGGTTTGGACTGTTTATTGATTAGAACAGTGTATATCTTAGTAAGATATATTCCAGGTTTATAACAGGATTTTTTTTTTTTTTAATGTGGTAAACGCTACAGGAACTGACGATGCAGTTTATTGTTGCTGACTGTTCTAGACGTTGTTGATGTCTGGTAGACATCCCCTCCTGTCTCAAGTTTTCTCAAACTTTGTAAAAAGGTGAAACATCATGAGACTTTGATGTTTCCAGAAAATCACAAATGCCTTGCATAATGCAGAGCTACTTTATAAATTACAGTGTGATGCTTGCATTTAAAAGCTTTATTGTTCTACACTGTCTCTCAGAGTTGTTTAATGCATGATGAGTCTGATATTATTACACAAACACACTCGCAATTCAGCAAGTTTCATTCTCTGTCTCTGTCCAGTTTCTGTCTGATATGTCTTCTCTCAACACTTTTCTCATTAAGGGAACCAGAAATATTTCCCAGAATATATAATCATCAAAACAGTAGTGCTGTTTTTTCTCAACCAAAGGTCTTGCTCCTTTATTTCATTATGTGATTAATCTGTTAGTGGGAACATTTACAGTATCTGTATTTCTCCTCAAGTTAAAATATAAATATATGTTAACTGAAACCTTGGCATAGTTAAGATAGGACCAGGATTAGAAACAGCTGATTCTTATTTTCAGTATTTATACTAGCATAAGGACATTGATAGAGTGCCAATATGTCTCTTCATTTTTGTATTATTAGGTGTTCTTAAAAAGACAAAACTATGAAATCTTGCTCCCTTCAATACACATTGTCAAATGAATGGAGAATTTCTGGACACATGTATTAATTCATAGCATAAAGCATCGGCAGGTAAAGATTATGAGCAGTGCCTGAACACTTAGTCAAAAAGGAGTAGACACTGTTCAAATCTTTATCCTTTCTTTGAATTGTGGTGGGTAGACTGTTCATTATGGCCATCTAGCGGGCACTCAGAGGAATAACACTCGGCAGCAGGCTGACTATCCCGGAAGCAAAAGCTAATAATGGTCAGGTCGTGGAACTTACTGTGAGTAATAACCCTGCATTTACAGTCACTGGGGATGAATTGTAACCTGTGGCTGACCTGGAACTACCACCTTTTCGGTTTCCACACAGAGGACAATTGCTGAGCCTTACATAAAACAGATATTAGCTTGCTGTTTTATACTGATGAGAAACAGAAAGTGCTGCACACACGAAGGCAAGACTGAAATAAAATACACTTAAGGAGTTAGTAAAAAAAAAGCAATAAAAGATCCACCTCTGTTGTCCCAAGAAGAAGCAAAAATCTATGGTACTTACTGACGCTGTGTCATTCTTTGTTTTGTGTAAATGACTCACAGGCTACGGGGTGTGTTTCAAAACTTCTATTGGTTCGCTTACCTAATGAAATAAGTTGGAATACATCTTCACTCTGCCAAATAAATGAGCCCTAAAGCTCTCTAATATGCTCTACTGCTACATGAGAGTTATGGTAATGAATGAGTATGAGAACGTTTATATAGATACCAACTTGAATGCAATGACTGAGTTAGTCAATATGCTTTAGGTATAGGCAGTAAGGCAGTAAGTGTCTAAGATGCAAAGTCAATCACTTTTACCTCCTATTAGCATATCCATACGTTCGTATATATATATATATATATATATATTTAGAATAATAGATGATTTAGGCCTCCTACCCTTTGGCCTAATGGAGAGAATCTCTACTCTTCAGTGACATTATAAATACAGGCTATTTCATTAACCTTTATTAATACACTTGATTCACTTAATTACTTCGATGCAGAAGTGGAAAGTAACTAAGTACATTTACTCAAATCCTATACTGAAGTACAATGTTGAGGTACTTTTACTTTACTTGAGTATTTCCATTGTGTGCCACTTTATACTTCTATTCCACTACAATAAAAAGGGAATTCATGTACATTTTACTACATTTATTACAGCTTTAGCTACTTTAAACAAAAATTAAACTAGTGGATTAACTCTTTAAGTCACAAAAGAGTCAAATGATTTAAATATTTTACAAAAAGTAAATCAGAACTTTGTTTGTCCATAACAGTGAAATGCTATGATGGAACAATATTATCGAGAAATGTCACATATAAATATAATTACACATAAAGGCCATTTTTCTGCACAATGATTAATCTTACGTGTTATACTTTAAGTACATTTAGCTGATAACATGTTTGTACTTTTACTTAAGTATAACATTTTGAATGCAGGACTTTTACTTGTAATTAAGTATTTTAAAAATAATGTATTGGTACTTTTACTCAAGTAAAGCAGCTGAACACTCATTCCACCACTGCTTGGATATATTTTAATAACGAAGTTTTTTTTTTAAAGGTTCTTAATACCAAGAATTTTTTTCTAAATTATGTGTGGGCAATTTAACCCAATCTGAAATATATTTTACACAGGAAAAGGGTTGATTCATGAGGTAAAGGTAACCTTTTGTCAATAGGAATATACTTTATAACAGCATCGTTTTTGCTTGATAATAATACAAGACACTTTACAGGGTTAAAAATGAATAAATAAAAAGACAAAAAATGTAAATAAAATCGAACAATGAAACAACATAACACAAAGAGACAACAGTACGTTAAAAGTCCTTCTGAAAGGTGAGTTTTGTTCACTGTCTTAATGTTTGAGGGGTCAGTACAGTACTTAGTAAGATGAGTGTTTTTCGTTGTGGCTAACTCTTTCTAATAAAACCTGTTTGTCCCCGGGCTAATGCAGACCGTACGCCCTGTCATGGAGCAGCTCCAGGAGGCTCTCCTGTTGCTGCACGTCCTCCTCTCTTCCGTGAAAACATGCTCTGCTGTCCGCCTCAGACCACTCCCTCTCAGTCTCAGAGGGAACGGAAGAGCAGTGAACTACTTTTTCTGTGCGGCTGTTTAAAGACTATGTTCACAGCAGAGAATGGCGGACGTCACAATTGAGGAGCTGCAGTGTGAGCTTACCTGCCCGGTGTGTCTGGAGCTGTTCAGGGACCCGGTCATCCTCGAGTGCGGACACCACTTCTGCCAGGTGTGCATCCTTCAGTGCTGGGAAATCAAGGCCGACGAGTTGTCGAGTTGCCCAAAGTGTAGAAAGTCTAGCGGCGGGAGACTGCGACCCAACTCGCTGCTGTGCAACGTGGTGGACAGTGTGCGCAGAGCCCGGTGCATGGACACTGCCTCGGGGATAACCGGGTGGGACTCAGGGGGTCCTCTGGAGGAGCCGGAGGAGCGGGAGCCGGGGTCCAGCATGAGCAGCCTGGCCTCCTCCACCGGGCACTGGCCGCGCCTGGGTATGGATATGTGCGAGGAGCATGAGGAGAAGCTGAAGCTCTACTGTGAGGACGACCAGCTCCCCATCTGCCTGGTTTGCGGCATGTCCAGGGACCACAAGACCCACAATGTCATCCCCATTACAGAGGCCTTTGAAAACTACAAGGTACGTTCTGATTGGCTGAGTTAGACACGTTTTTTTTACCAATAGATTGCGTCTAGCTAGGCCTAAATTAGGGGATAATCTTACTTTAAAACCAATATTACAAACTTTCCTCTCTAAGATAAAGAACTTGGTGATCATTATTTGATCATGGTCATTATTGATCACTAAACTTAAAGTATTTTAGTCTTTTAGGGAGTGCCATGCATGCTCCTCTGACACACCTCTCCTTGTTCTTGGAAAGAAACATATCTCAGGTTTGTCAAGCATTCCTAAATGCCAAAGGAAACCTAGTTTATAAGGATTGTATTTAATAAATGAACTCATTTGCTCTGGCTTTAGCAGATGTGGTGTAATGGCATTTATTTTTTTAAAGCAGGCTCCCTGTTTGCCTTGGCAGCCTTTGGATGTTTTGCTATTTACAGGAATTCAGCAGAACAGTGTGAGCTCCTTTAACGCCCCCTATGCTTTTAACCCGACAGCTGACCATCATCAGTTTGTTTGAAGAGTCTCCGAGAGGCCTCTCATGTTTCACCAAGACTGAATTTTCCACTTTGTTTGAATTTGTGGCTCTCAGCAGTCTGTTGAGGACAGGGTGTGCATCATATGACTCCCATTAAGGATGTTGTTGTTTTTCAGAGCAGATACACCAATTTAATCAACTTTTAAGTATAATCCAGTTTAGCAACACCACCTCTGTTTGATGTTTAGCATGTGATTGTTTATTTGTGCTGCAGGATAAGCTGTCTATCGCTCTGGAGAGGGTTGAGCTGCAGACAGAGGAGGCCACGCTCTTCCAAAGCCAGACCAATGAAAGGATCCTCCTCATTAAGGTATACAGATACATGTTTGTTTGTTTGTGAAGCATTGGGAAATACCCTGGACATAATCCCAGCAAATACATACGTGTGTGTGTTTGCCTGTGAATTGAACCTGCATTTCTGGTCACCAAGAAACATTCCTCCACCTTTACCTGTCTGACAGCGAGACTGATTGATGACTAATCCTAACTATGACGGGCAATGACACAACAGGTTGTTACTCAGTGTGGTTTGTTCTCATGTTTTGCAACTGTAGAAGTTCCTCCTGAAATGACACAGGTGGTAAATAAACATTCATGCACATCATCCCGTTTGTCTTTCTCACAGTATCTTTTTTCACAAATGCGGCCCTCAGGTCAAGTAGCGATACCACAAAGTAAAAATACAATTTATTTGTTTATATATATCGTATTTATTATCTGAATCTGCACAGTAACACAAATGTAATATTGTCAGATACATTTTGTGGAGTAAAATGTGCAATATTTGCTTCCAAAAGCAGTGAAGTAGAAGTGGCATAAAATGTAAATACTTAAGTAAAGTCCCAGTACCTCAAACTTGTACTTAAATTCAGTACAGGTTAAATACTTATGTAACTTTCTACCACTGGGTGACACACAAACTAGCACATGCACACACACAGTACAAGAACTATGTCACACAACCTCACAGAAAGAGATAACAGCTGGCTGAATTTATGCTGTGACGCTTTATCCAGCACAGCAGCTCTTACCTCAAATAGTGGTCTGTTTGTGTGTGTGGGTGCGCTTGTGTGTGTTCAACCGAGACATTAGTGTAGCATGTTTGCTTTGTTAAAGTGTTTTTTGCTGCTACACATATCTCTGCTCTAGGTTATTTACACATTTTTCTCTATCCTGTATGTCTGCTTGTCTCAGCATGTATATTCCCCTGTATATGTCTGTCTATCTGTTTGACACAGTTTCTATGCACATTCACAGATTTTCACTTCTGTTTCTCTGCCGGTATGACAGGATGTGGGTCAACAAGTTTCAGAGGAAGTTTGGCAAGCTTTCTTTTCCGGACAATTTCTCTTAGTATGTAGTCTGTGTGTGTCCGTACGTTTCTTATCATTTTTGCTTACCTATCAATCTTTTTCTCTACCTGCGTCAGCAATAAAGGAAGTATTGCTCTCCTTTACTTAGAAACGTAAAGGTCCTGCATTGATTATTGCTTGAAGGGGAACCCCACCTCACATCATCATCCGTTCACAGGTCATATTACGGCATATGTGAAAAAAGTGTAAAGCTCCAGAAAGAGCTGCACAAAGTCAGATTAATATATGTTCAGGCTAATGACGAAAAGCTACATTAGCTGCTAGCATAACACCTAAATCTCAGATCAAGCTGCATTATGGGTAATTTAAGTGGAACGTTTTGACAAAAAAGGCGAATGTTTGAAATTTAAAAAGACCATATTTTGGTTCTGCTGTGTAAAATGTCATCCCACTTAAAAAAAAAACTGTCTGTCTTTGTGTGTGAAAATGATGGCAATGCTAAATTGGTTAAGAAGTATTCTGATAAAATAAACTTTTAAATATTAAATGCAAGCCGGTATATCGGAAGCAACACAGCTTTTGACCTTTTTTTGGTTTAATTTAGATGTTTAAAATGTTAGATTACTTTGGCCTCGTGTTGAAACATATATTTACAGTCTATGGTTAAAACTGAAACACTACAACTCCTCTTCCATGTTCTAGCTAATGGGATCCTATGTGTTTTAGGAGCGAGCAGGAGATCTGGAGGAGATGGTCACCGCAGAGTTTGGCCGTCTGAGGGAGTTCCTGCTTGAGGAGGAGGAGCGCATAAAGGTGAAACTTCAGAATCAAAAAGAGCAGAAACTCAAACAGCTGGAGGAGGCGCTCACTGAGACCACAGAGCAAATCAGCCAAATGGAAAATATAGCTGACGAGCTTCGCCTCAAACTGACAGAAGAGGAAAACCCTGAGCAACTCAAGGTATGAGAGAAAAGTAATATATATGATGCTTGTAGAGCACATTTATTTTACCCCATATAAAAAGTCTGTAAATACCAAAGAATGTTGATATTCTATTCTAGATGTGCAGTTTTAGATATTCTCTGCATGTTACAGTAAAGAGTGAGGTATTTTGTAATCATAGGCTTGTTTTGATCTGCTCTATTTCAGGGAATCAAAGACTTCATTGGAGGGTGAGTATTATCACAATTGATCATTATCGCTAATGTCTTAGTTACTTATTCATTTCTAGATAATCTCCCGGTCTTCTTGTACTTGACTGTTGCCCTAAATCTAAAGTCACAATAGTGTATTGTTTTGTAATTATCTTTGAGTGTTGCTGAAACAGGATGTTGGGGCATTGTTGTGGTTTATCATGTTATCTTTGCCAAACATTGTCACGCCAACTAGTGACCACTAGGTAGCAGTCTGTCCATTTGCCAGTGTTTTGTTGACATTTCTTCTTAAATAGGTGTAAGAATGCAGATACAATGTAATGATATGACTCAAGTCCACACTGCTTGCTGTACATGGCTTAAATCTTCACTTTTCTAAGTTGTTTAATATATATTGGTCTTGTATTTTATAAGAAACATAAATTGTTTACGTATGTGAAAGGACAAGAATAACATAACAGTTGCAGTAAGGTGTATACACTAAAGCAGCCACAACAATAGATATATATTATGGGAAGTGAAGTGAAAAGGCTTTTTGCTTTAAGTTATTTTATCTCTCATTGTCTCTTTTTCTTTCCCTCCGTCAGGGCTCATAGCTTTTTTGAGCAGCCCCCACAGGTGACTGTGGATCTGCAGTCAGGAGAGTTCCTGGGACCTCTGCAGTACAGGACCTGGAGGAAAATGAGCTCAATTTTTCAGCCAGGTATTTAAACACCTAACACAATTATGAAAGCAATGGCAATAAATGTGGCAGAGGCTCAGTTATATCAGTAAAGCTTAACAAAAACGTAATCTTATATTGCAACTCGGGTTCTGTGAAACATTGGCAGTTTCCAAGTCTGTGCCTCTTTAAAAAACAGTTTCCTTTATCTATTAATACTTGATTTATTTGCTTTGCATTTTATGTTCTGTCTCATTATCAACATGCTCTGCCTAGAGAAGTTGGACAACATGTACCTGTTCTCCAAACTTCTGTCTTATTGGGTCAAAGTCAAGATTTATTTGGGGTAATTTGAGTCAATGACATGTAATCATGCATTGTTGTTGATCGTGCAACACTAGACTGCACTAAAGAATGGAGTTACATCTTGACGCATATCATTTATATTTTATTTGTATCCATGTAGCTGATGCTCTTATCTAGCTCGTCTTACACTAATTAGACAGGAAGGCATTCATTCATCTAGTTGAAGGTCACAGCCAGTCTTTCTCTGGAAACAAGTTTGTTGTTGAATTGCAACATTTCTAACCCTTCTCATGTTTTGGCCCTCTTAGCTATCACCGCTGTGACCCTTGACCCGAACACAGCTTACCCCTGCCTGTGGGTGTCCCCGTGTTGCACCAGCGTCCAGGTGGGGAGAATCCAGACCAACCTGCCCAACAATCCAGAGCGCTTCACCCGCTACAACATCGTCCTGGGCTCTGAAGCCTTCTCCTCTGGGAGACACTACTGGGAGGTGGAGGTGGGCAACAAGACAGCGTGGGGTCTGGGCGTGGCCACCGCCTCCGTCAACAGGAAGGAGGAGATCAGCCTCTGCCCAGATGACGGCTTCTGGACCCTAGTGCTGAGGGACAACGGTGACGGCAGCAGCGAGTACGAGGCATGCACTGACTCAGAGGAGACCATGATATATCCCTCCAAACCCCCCAGCAGGGTGGGGGTCTATCTGGACTATAGTTCTGGTGACGTTGGGTTTTATGATGCAGGAAACATGGCCCACCTCTTCACCTTCTATGGTGCAAAATTCAAAGAGCCTGTTTTTCCGTACTTTAATCCCTGGCCAATTATCAACGGATACAACAGGGAGCCCCTCACCATAGTTACACCACACTGGGGATAGATTCCCCCTTCATCTCAGAACAGATCCAGAATAAAACTGCAGGACAAAGTTCATCAGATGTGGTGATAATGAACTTGGAAGTGACCCTGAAACTTGAGACTTTAAATAAGAAGATGAAACTACTAAAGGACAAGTGTCAGACAATGTCAGACAAGTGAGACTTTAGAACACATGGCTGTTGATACTCTATTTTTCTTATAGTCAACACATCAAAAGAAAATATTTGTAATGTTGGATAGCGGTGTGCCTGGCCTCTCTGGACGAGCTTTCACTACGGGCCCCCGCATGTTTCCACCTGACACCGTCCGTGAACTTCCTACCAGCAATTCTCAGATTGTCTCATTGATGTTATCATGTTCCCGATAAGCAGTTAGTCTAAATCCAAAGATATTGCGAAATAGGTGCTTTTCGCTTTGACATCAAATCCTCCGCCTTCCTGTTTCTCAACTCTCTGTGACACCCCCGCTGCTCTGTGCTGCAAATCTGCCGCTGTGAGGATCAGGCACTTTCAATTTGTTGTTACAGTGTCCACCAATTCGACTAAGAATGTGGTTTTATTTCTATAAAAAAAGGCTAAAAGAGAGTGAGTTGGGAAGTAATTGAATCAGTGTATGCCAGAACACTATTTCACCAGAAAAACTGACTATGATGGCCTACTAACAAATACTGTCTGTGTAGCCAAAGACGGATATATTTCATATCTCTATGACGTATAGGAACATCATCAACCTCATGGCATGTTTACTGCCCTGAAGCTGTGACACTTTAGACAGGTGTGCTTTTCCAAGTCATGTTTTATGAACTGCAAAGATCACAACTCCAATCCCGCCTTTGAAACCTCTCAAAGATGATTAAGAGAAATGAGGGACACCTGAGATACATTTTAAGAGCCAAAGGGTCTTCTTATGCCATCATTAACTTTTTATTTTTAATACATTTGCTTGTTAAACCCTTTTTTCACTTTGTCAGCACAAGCTTTTAAGAACAAATGTCAGTAAACATGAATGGGCTTGGTGCTGGGAGCCAAATGAGTACAGAGAAACAGACTAATTTTTGTGTTGCTTTTAGTGTTGTTGAGAAGAAACACAAAGAATGGCCATATCCTATTTTGTATTTGTTCTGAATTCATTAGAAAAGTGGTAGGTCATATCGCTTTGTAATGTAGCCAAAGACTTAAAGGGTCCATGACAAGTTTTTGATTTCTAGGAGCCTATGAGTTATCATGTGACAGCTAGCTGGTGCTCAAAGATACACACAATGCAATTTGGACACTGAATGGTTGTTTGAAAAAACATTTCAAAATTGTATTAACAGTCAATGCAGAATATTTTAGTGTGTGTTTTGGAACAATATCTAACATTATAATATCATATATTTTAAACCCGTTTTATAGCTGTTGTATATCCAATCATGTTATTCTAATAACATGTAGAGTTCAACTGAGGAAATGATGTGTAAAGCAGATGACTACTAATATTCGTTTCTAAATGCCTTTTACTTTACAAGGTAAATATACATGAATGTTCCATCACAATTAATACAACAAATGATTGATCAGAAATATTTTCTGAGTGTTTTTGAAGTTTTTAATAAGGAAAACACTATCTAGAAATGTGCCGTTAGATTTGAATAATTCGATTAAATTTCCTACTAATGTTGTTGTTTCATTTGATTCCACTAGAGGGCGCCCTCATCTAGCTTTGAAGGCAGCATCACTGTCTCTCTGTGTTCTTTATAATACAACTTTAAACTTGTTCCTATAACCATAAGGAAGCTATCTGCAGACAAAATAAAGCTTTAGGTAACGTCTCATCTTGGGTGATTCAGAATTCTTTTCCACCCAACTCCATTTTAAATATGTAGCCAGATTTCACAAACCACGTTGTATTATACTATGTTATAATATAGATGGATTGCAAACATATATTAAGCATAAAATCAGGAGTATTTCAAGCAACTTCTAGGAATTTCCAAACAGACAGGAGTCAGGGCTGGATAAGATATTTAGATCCTTTACTTAATGAACAATATGAAGAACTAGAGAATGCAATTCCTGAAGAAATTGCTAGTGGGAAAGCTTTATGCTGAAAAGCTGACGCTGAACTGCTACTGTATGCTGAAATGTAATGTGTAAGAAGAAAGTGAGGAATTTAGATTGAAATGATACATGAACACTGGGGGCTTGAATGTGTGATAAGAGAAGAAAAGAAAGTAAAAAAGCTTGGAAAAGCAGCAGAATATTTGAACTGCAAACTATTGAACTAACTTGAATGATCTGTCGCCATGGCAACGGTATTTGATGACACCCCATAATACGCTTAGATATGTTGATGGCTGCATCGTTACCAAACCTGTGAAGTTTTGGGCTGTTTGGAGCATTTTCATTGAAGTTATGAGAAAACCGTGTTTCATGGCTAGCATTGTGTTGCCATGGCAATGGCGTTTGAAGAAATCTCAAAACTGTCCCGTAGATGTCTTCACGGCTGGACTGTTAGCACACATGTGAAGTTTTAGCACTTTTTGACAATTTTCATAGGAGTTATAGCAATATCGTGTTTTATTGCAAGGGATGCGTTGCAATGGCAACAGCTTTTGAGGAAAACTCACTAATGGCACATAGACATGTTGAGGGCTGGACCATTAACTGTCATCTGAAGTCTGTTGGTGTTTTGACCATTTTCATATCAGTTACGACAACATCGTTTTTTATGGCGAGGGATGCGTTTTCATGGAAACAGCCTATGGTGAGATCTCAGATTTGGCGTAAAGCTGTTGAGGCATGGACCGGTGATATAAAAGCGAAGTTTGGGGGACGATCGGACCGTGTCCATTGGAGTTACAGCGACATCGTGTTTTATGGCGAGGGATGCGTTTCCATGGAAACGTCATATGATGACACCCCATAATTGACGTAGAGCTGTTGAGGGCAGGACCATTAACCATTATCTGAAGTCTGCTGCTGTTTTATGGCGAGGGATGCGTTGCCATAGTAACACCACATTACGTAACATCAGATTTGATGTAGAGCTGTGTTATCTGAAGTCTGCTGCTCTGAGCATGTCAGTTGGAGTTATGACATCATCGTGTTCCATGACACAGGTGTTTATTTCAGCTAACGACGTGTCCAGAGATCAAAGGTTTCCATGGTGATGTGCAGTAATCAGTGAGAGGAGAGCGTTTGCATTGTTCTGAATGAGAGATAAACCTCTTACATGTGAACGTTTTGTTGAAGAACCGTAACAGATATCGGTGAAATTTCAACGCGTGAAGCATCTCAAGAACTCTGAGCATCTGAAGTGTGCTTTTTGTGTACTTTCGGGTTCATAATGTGGGCTTTTTTGCAGATTAACTAAAGGTGTGCGGCTGCTGCTGTGAGGAAAGAGCAGCCTGAATTTACAATGGGCTTTAATGGAGAAATGTTGAAAGTTTTTGTCACTTCATGCCCTCAAGAGGCATTTTGTTTAATTATTTTGCTTAATTATTTTTTATTTTTCAAGCTACGAGATGTTTTCCTACGTTTCTCATGAAATATTATGTCTCAGGAATGTAGGGTTATGGCAGGTTTAAAAAAATATATGAAGGCGAATTTCAATCTGTCCTCCACTCTAGCTATGACAGATCCATCCAAAGATACAGATCCAAAACATCTGGAATGAGGCACCAACAGCAAGGCAGAGAGACGGCCAATGGTCCAGCAAACCCATGTCAACAATGGGTCAAAGAGACACCAGGAAGTGGTAGGTCATAAAGGGTCTTTGTTCAGCCCATTCTAAAATATAATGCAACAAAACAAACAGGATTTTACGCTACAGGCGCAGAGTTAGAACAACGTCCTGTTTGACACAGTCTCAACAAAACCCTGATTCACCATGTTGTGTTGCCTTTGTTTGACTTTGTGTTAACCTGTCACGGATACGCACAAAGTGGTTTTTTTCAATGTCCAGTTGAGCAAGGTTAATGAGGTCCCTCGAGCCAATTGTGCAGTAATCTGTGACTACTATTACAAACAAATAAATAATGACAATTAGTCTGACCCAAATAAAAAGTATCTTTTATCCATGTCAGCTTTATCTCCGTGCGTCATCTGCCTCAACGTTAACCATAGAGTGCAGGTCTTAAGACTATACGTGCCGGGCTAATGTCTTGTTCTCTCAGTTAACTATCCTGATCTGTAATTAGATATTATTGCAGGCCGATCAACATGCAGTAACACGAGACTTCACTTCTACATTACTGCTCTGATGCCACTCCCTCTGTCATTAATCCCTATCTTTGGTCAGTGTCAGTGACGGTCAAGGTGAAATAGAAGTCTGAGATGAAAAAAGTTATCCACAGTTTTTTTAGAAACTTCTTAACACACTCATTTCTTAAAAAGTCTGTGTTTAATTCCATCTCTCATCTCCCTTTTTATCTTTTTCATCCATCCTTCATCTTTGCTCTTTCATATGACTGATCCGTTCCCAAAATACAACCACTATTTTTAACTTAGCACAGCTTATTCTGTAATGGATCGCTTTTCTGAGTTCAGCCCAAGAATTTGCCTCATCCTGCCATCCATAATGGATGAGGAGAGGGCCTGATGAAAGACAGAGAGGCTTCACGACGGGGTAAAAGTGATTAATGGAAACCTCATTAGAAACTGGAGAGATTTCAAGCTATTCGTTATCCGCAAGTTGAGAATAAACACCATCAGGTTGGATGTGTAATGTGGGGGTGTGATAATAAGAGATGTAGAGTTGGAAAAAGAATCTCGCTAATTACTTTGTGAGAGATGTGAAATATTTGAGGGACATTTTCTTAAATAAATAGATTTGTTTGATGACATGATGAGATTAATATTTTTTCATCCGTGGTAGCTGAATACTACTGACGAATGAGTGTTCTTCCAAGGACAATTACTGTGATCCTCTAAATCACAACATCTATATTGTTTTGGTATATTGTAAGCCTTTATATACGCTGACAACACAGTGTCAGTCCATGTGTCTGACAAGATTATCTATCCAAAATGAAAAGTGTTAGTTTTGCTTGATCAGTTTTCCATCAATATAATCGCTGAACTTTAGACAGAAAAGGTAAGCTTGATGAAAAAGTATCAGAGAAGAATTTAGGGATTCTCAGTTAAATACATTTTTTTTTAAATCAAGCAAAAACATGCAGGCTAACCTTAGCTGTTTTGAGATGATAAGAGAATAATTGACTTCTGATTTTGCCTTGTTTCTAAATTAAATTATTCTTAATTCTCCTCTGGCCCAGGTTAAGCAGTCTGTAAGCAGTCTGTAATCAAATCCCTAGTGTTTCTATAATCAGGCCTTAACAATATTGGACAAAAAGCAAATAAGGTACCATCATTGCCGAATTTTAAGTGAATACAATATTTTAGGTTTTGTGAGTCTTGTTGATTTTTATTATGTAAAGCCTAAATGTTTATATGAATTTGCCCACAGCCTTTCTGGAAAACATCAGAAGCCAATCCAGCAGAGCAGCATCAAGTGGCAATGGTACGACTCAATTCTACAAAACATATTTTCTGTGGAAGTCACAAAATCCTGAAACCTTCTACATGATCATCACTACTATAAAAAGAGCTACCAAATCCTGGCGTACAATGTCATGTTTTCAATGTGTGCTTCATTGTATCCTGCTGGATCCAGTTAACCTTTAGCCACTCGTGATTTCAAAGCCCTTTTATAAATGTTGCCAACTTGCATAAACATGATGACTGCCTCTGATAGCTGTCAGTGTTTTCAGTCATTCAATGCATCTGCCTATACCAAATAAAACATAAATATTGAATATGATAGTGGATAGTTGCATATTTATTCATTATCATCTTTCAATGTTGATCATTTTCTGAACTGCTCCTGATCTGTCGTGCTATTTGAATTTGAGAGAGAAAGCAGAAGAGAAGAGTAGATGGAGGGAGATTTAAGAGATTTAAAATAAAGGGCAAAAGTTGGACCCTTCAACACTAACGTCCCTGTTTTTCTCAAAAAGAAGGGAAATAAAATGAACGTTTTTTTTATAGAAAGCTGAAGCGTTGAGTTGAATCAGATGCGTTAGACTTTGAAGCTATCCGGTTGTTTTAGAGACCAGAATAATTTGCTTACATGCTTGTGTGAACATTCGTGTCTAAAAATAGAGGTCAGTGGTAGCATGTTCACCTGTGTGAGCATGTGTGGGTGCTCAGCCATGCTTGCTGGACGAGATTATTGATGCAGGACAACATCAAGGTGATGCTTTGCAGTTCGTTACACAAAATCATTATTATCACCAAGCCGCAGAGTTTGTTGCATCCCTCCCTGCTTTTATTTATCTCTTTCTTTCACTTGATGAACAGCTGACCTGGGCACCTTCAAAAATCCAATTTGTTAGACAAAGGCTCCAAATATGACAGGGGATTGAGGGCAGACAGATTGGGAGGGATGGGGAAGAGGAGAAAGCATGTAGAGCAACAAGGATTACTGTTGGAGGTGAAGAAAGAAGCAGGCAAGGATGGAAGGAAACAAACAAAGAGAGTAAAGGAGGAAGGAAAGAAAACAGAAAAAACATGACAGAAAAACCCAAGATTCTGAATGAGAGCTAGATTCCATGAAGGATCTTTATACCGACTAATGACAGGAAGGGTGGCTTTGACTAAGTGCCTGGGCAACAGGAGGAGTGTTTACCTGTGATGAAGGGCAGATGTGTTACAGGTAGATAACGTGAGGGAGGTAAAGTTCAGGAGGTATAGAGTGTCACCCTAAGGACCAAGAGATAATGAGGGGGGGGGGCAGAGGGGCAGGAACTCAATCCCAAAGCCAAGACATCACCTGAAGATAAAAACCGTCCTCACCTGAACGCACCACAAGAGCGTGGTGAAGCATGCACTGAGGAAAACTACTGGAGGAAATACTAGGACAGAGAGGAGAACATAGATGCATATACCATTTATTTTTCCTTAAATCACTTCAATTATTCTCGTTTTTGTTTTATTACCTGGAACCAAGAAAATACTTCCACTTTTATCAAGAGGGCTGGATTTTTTTATTTTTTTTATTTTACAAAATCTATTAACAAGACTTTTTGGGGAATTATAGTAGCCTACATAAACACCAAAAAACAAAAGCAAGTGCAGAAGAAAGAAGAGCAGGGTAGAGGCAAGAGAGTGTGTCAGGGAGGGGGAGGGTGAGCGAGGTAGAGAGAGAGAGAGAGAGTGTGTGTGAGCCTGTGACACCGAGATGTTCATGATCATTCGTGAGTCGTCGTCCGCCGGAGGAGGCGGTGCAGTGATGAGCGCGCCGCACGAGAGGAGTGCAAAACAGGTACGTTAATATGGGTGTTAGGAAGTGTATAATAGTGTGTTTTTAAAGTATTTACAAGTGCAATCTTATAAACAAATGCAGTGATGCTTTTCTGTGTACAAAATCTTGCATGCATTTATGATAGCCTTCCTTCTAAACTCAATCTCCAACATATGGTAATTTAAACATATTGAAGTGTAATTGATGTACCTGATAAATAACTGTTTTCTAGTCCAAAACACAAAGCTCTATTTTTGTTGGAGAAAATTCTCCCGTGTCTGACCCTATAAAATGTAATTTAATTAATTATTTCAAAGAGCATTTCATGAAAAGTACGCATGTTGGTTTGAACCTGATAGAAAAACATTGCAGCGTTGTTGTTTTTTGTGCAATTTCCTAGGTTATTAAAGCAAATTTTATTTACAAAGTGCTTTACAATAAAAGACAATAGAACAAATTAAGTGTTTGTATCAAGAGATTGGAACTTCTATATCTCACTATATTTTGCATTTATGCACACTACAAATATGTAAGAAAATGTGAGTGCATCAGTAATGATGTAAACATGACGTTTGTGAGTTAGGACACAGATGTATGCTCTCCCCTCAGGTGCAAGCCTCCATCAAGAAGAAAATGGAGAAGCAGAAGAGGCGATCAAGCGCGGCAGGTGCGGCTGGAGACATTCAGACGGCTCCACCTCCTCGCCACCAGAAAACTAGCTTCCCCACGGCGGCGGCTGCTGAGGACAGCGAGACGCAAGACGAGGAGCTGGACGAGCTGATGGAGGGGCCACAGGGCAGGGGGAGGGAGAGAGAGGAGGAGGGGGAGCCTGTGGACCTGCTGCCCATCGTGGAATCTGTGTTCGGGCAGGTAGGAGCCATCGCCTGCCGTCAGTGTGTGTGTGACTCATCAGTTCACCCGTTTGTGAGCATGTGTGTGTTTCATGTAAAGCATCAATTCAAATGTATACCCTAGCTGTGGTTCCGTTTTTGTAAATAGCAGTCTTAAGTCACACCCCTGACCTCTTTGATCTGACATGGCAAAAGAGCAAAAAGCTGTAACACTAACATTAACTATTTGCCTTCTCGTTTAACTCTAAATCCCTCTGGAAATGGAGGGGGTCAGAAAAGCCAGAGGGCTAAAGCTAAGGATGGACATGGCGTGTGCATGGGATTTAAACTCGTTTTGCTTTGGGAAACATTATGAAAGAGTAATCCGTAACAGATACGGCCATAGTCAGCCAGAGATCTGATGAACACCCTATCTCAGTATCACATCCCTTCACTCACATTGTAAGCAGCGACACACGACACTGCAGGAAAGGCCACGCCGTAATAGCATCTGTCACCCCGCGGCCAGAAATGTAGGATCATGGTGTGAGAAAGTGGTGGGTTTGTCTGTGTGTGTGTATGAAAATAAAATCAAAAGGGATTAAACCCAAGTTAAAAGCCTCATCTTGCTTCCTGTGTCTGATCTAAGCTTCTGAGTCACTCCATGAAAAAAAAAGAGTCCACCTGATCATGTCAGCAAACTCTGAAGTGGATGATGATGAGTGTGGCTGAGTTTAGAAATAGGAAATCGATATAAAAAGAAGGAAAAAAACGTGATGTCAGTGGTGATGCAAGTGAGCCAAAATTAGAGAGACAAGCTGAGTGAGTGGGAGAGAGGAGACAGTTGGCAAAGTCTGAAGAGAAGAAGCAATTTATATTCTCTTCGTCTCAGTGTCTCTGGGCCCCTCACTCTGAACCCTGCAGGACGAGACCTCGAGGCCTTCAGACCACACACACTATAGTCAGATTAAAATACTCATCATCTTTATAAAGTGATGTTTTTAAAACAAGCTACACACCTTACATCATAAGCAAACACTGTAATAAAACATAAATACAAGTTATGCTACAGTGTGAAAGTTCTGCATTCGAAAGCATACAAACATAATCTTATCAAAATAAAATCGAAGTCCAAAAAGTTAGTATCATCATGCAGAATGACCTATTTGAGAAACATACATGTATATATTTTTTATTTATGTTACTGCAGTTTAATTCTTTTTGATTACTACAAACAATTAATCAACAAAAGTCAATGTGAGATTTGGTACTAATAAAAGGGTTATAAAGACCAATTTTTGACAAGTAAAGTTTATGAACATTTGTCCATCGAACTGCTTCATTTCGATCCCATCAAAGAATTTATTTATTATTGCAAATGTTGGAGGTAATACATTTCATCTAGAATTGTACAGCAAGTACAATGTTCAGATACTTCAAGTGTTATTTGAACTACTTATTACCCCTCTGCAATTATTTGACAGCTATATTACTGTCAAGATTAATATTTCCAAACCAAACTTGTGTATTAAATATAATATATATATAAAATAATATCAACTTTTATTGATTACTTTTCTCAATATAATATAAACTCCACCTTCAACAACAAAGACATGAAATCGATTTTTCAGTACTGATAATGTTATATTCCAACATATAATAGTAGAACAACAACAGTGTTACTGATAGTACCATTTTAGTTTGAGTTTTAATGCTGTAAACCTTTTTTACTCGAGTAAAAGAACCAGAAATACTTATTCCCTCTCCTCCTGTCTTGCTCCAGCTATGACGTCTCTTCCAGTCTTGCTCTGATTGACAGGTCTCATCAATAGAAAACCAGCTGATGCACATCTGACACCAGAACAGTACATGATATATCTACCTGCTCTCTCTCTCTCTCACACACACACACACTCACACACACAGAAGAAAGGACAGAGTCAAATTACCTGAGTACTGCATATCCCAGACACACACGTCATGGTTTGTGGAACAAATGTGTGTGTCGCAAAAGACAAACCAGGTAACATAAATAAGCAAATAAGCTTGTGTGTGTGTTTGGTTGCATGCATTCAAACACACACACAGTCACAAACACACACTGACTCTCTCAATGCGTGATTAACTGGAACCATCAGTTAGGGAGAATAGTAATGAATCAGGCTTAATGGCATTGGTGGAGTCTCAGGTTATTGAGCAAGCCGTGTCAGTTTGTTAAATCAAGAAGTAACTCACTGAGAGACACATTTACTTTGGTTGATTAAAGTTGTTTTGTGTAGTTAGATTAACTAATTTAACTCATATAAATACAGTCAGTCATAAATTGCTGTTCTTTCAAGGATATGATCAGATAGATTGATGGTTAACAAAGTACTTTAGTTTAGGACTAAAACTCACAGTAAAAGACTGGTTAATAATATAAATTATTATATATCTTTTTCAAAAGAGACACATTAGGGCTGAACGATTTGTAAAAATAAGGTAATTGCACTTATACTGACTGAAGTGGAAATTGCTTTAGAAGTTAGAATTTTGGAGGGGGGTGATCAATTTTGCATCATTATTTTAATTTTCATTGAAAAGTGTATTAAAAATAATAATGTTGTCAATATTAATAATCTTTTGCAAAAAATTCTGAAAAGTCAGTAAAGTATGATTTGCAGGCCGTGACATCTCTGCAGCCCTAAAACACAAAATTCTGAACATTATTTAGACACATAAACTGTCCATTCTCAAATGCATTGCGCCTCCTGGGGTTTGCATATTGCACTAGTCCATATTGTTCAGCCCTTATACACTTCTAAAGTCACAGTCGAAATTCATATAAACTCTTTTATATTAGACATTAATACTCTGCGGCTTGTACGCAGCACAAGACACAGAATGCAACAGGCTCTGAGAATTGTCCTTTTGATCTCTAACATAAGGATCAGATTATTTGAAAAATACTCCTGTTTTCCAACCATATAATTCACAATTATAGTTTTTTCAATCCAAACGATCCGTTTCCACTTAAGAACCTTTTCCGGGAAAGGTTTTTATTAACAGTAGTCATTACTCTTAAGCTGCATTCACTGCGAGGTTATGTTAAAAAAAGAGTTTGTATTATTACTGACTTTTCACTGCAGCAGCTGTCAGATAAAACTCAGCTTATAGACCTGACTGTCGTAAAGCGATCTCTAGTGGTGACTGCTGATGATTTTAACTAAATATTTAGCAAACAAAAATAGATGCCGCTATTGTGTTTCATTCTAAAGACTCTTAATCCAAAAACATTTATTGACAAATCCATTTAAATCCATTCAGACCACACATCCTTTCATCTGTGACGAAAAATATCTATTTTTAAATAATGTGTGTGCTTGACTAAAATCTCCTTCAGAGAGTACGTTGAAAACACGTGTGAGTGTGCAAGGCTTTTTACATTAACATCACCAAAACTGTACAATGTACATGTATTTGTACAACTGAGTAGTTGGGAGCAAAAGTACAGAATTGGTTTAGCCATCTAAAACTTGGTGATATAGTATTGAAATGTGTTTTTTATGAAAACACTTTCATATCATCAACAATAAAACTAATCAGTTTTGATATAAACTGTGTAAAGTAGCATTCTGTCCTCCATTGAAGTTATTTTCAAACACAATAACAGCAATATGACTCGGCAAATATGAAATGACTTGTGTTTTCTATACTGTGTGCATTAGTATTACATCCTTTTATACTATTTACACACACACGCACGCACGCACGCGCACACGCACACGCACACGCACACACACACACCATATGGAAGCACTGATCGTAAGCGGCATGCCAGATCAGTTTTGAGAGATTTTCAGACAGATGCTTTTCGAGCTCCTCTGACCACTTAGCCCTGCAATGAATGCAATCAACGTGTGATTTTAATGTAGCTGTTCTTATTTTCCACAACTTGGCACAACTCGATTTGGGAGTGCATGTAATGGGGCATTTCCACCATGGCGCGGAGCGCGGTTTAAGCGTGCCGTGTCGTGCCGGGCCCGTTTTTGGTTGCGCTTCCACTAGGCCTAGTTCCGGCCCGGGGGTACTTTTTCACCTCTTTTCTGGCCCGACAAAATTGTGGTTCTATCGGGGCCAACAAACAGGGCTGAGTCGGGCTGAGTTTGCTAAACTAGAGAGAGAATCGCTGGCAAGGGGGCTACAACTACAACAAGATGAACATATTTGACCGTGATTTAATTGTAATACACGTTTCAAAATGATGCCGAAGTAACAACATACTGATACCGGTTAGTAAAAACCATGAATTAATGCTTTGGCAAGTTTGCAGACAGACGGCAGGCGAAAAACCTTTTAAAATGCGTGTTTTCTAAATGGAGATTGGCTAAGCTAACGCAATATATGCTCCGACCGTCCACACTCACAACAACGGCCTATACAGACATAAATAAACCAGCGACTGTATTCACCATGACACAGACAGTCTGTGGTTTGTACTTGTTTAACTTTTGTCGAGTTTCTGAACATATATAAGGAGCTGTGAGCTCTGAGTGCTAACAGCTAACGGCTGTGTTGTTTTTCTGGGGTTCTCATTGAAGATGACGTCACGGCTCCGCCTACACTGCGTTACTATAGTAACTACCCCAGTTCCTAAACTGTAATGGAAGCGCAGCATGAAGTGAGCCGGCCCTAACAAGGCCCAACGCGGCCTAGCAGTACCGAGCGAGGCCGAGGCCGACCGTGTGGTGGAAATGCGCCATAAGAGATCAGGAAGAGCTAAAAAACACATTCTGCCAAATGTGAGAGACACTGCGACCCATAAGCTGTCATACGCTGAGGCTTTACAGCGCTTTGGGTTTAAAAGTTGAGCGTGATTTGAAGTTCTAATTCTTCATGGAAAACACTTAAAGATCACAGCTGTTTAGCAATTTAAAAAATACCTTTTTTAAACTTTGACATTACATTTTAAGTATGTGAGTGCTCAATTAATCAAAAATAACAAAGATAATAAATCCCCTATTTTCTAGTTTTTAATTCTATATAGCCGTAAACATCTAGTGGTATTGATATTGAATATGATGTGTATTTTATCTTATTTATTCAATTATATTTAAGAAATCTATCCTTGATAATATGTTTTTGCTTTCACTTAAAGGTTAAAAAACTTCTTTCAATCAATGAAGAAGTCCAGCTTCAGTTTTGGTAGATTTTACTCAACCCCATACACTCTTTTTTTCAGTTTCTCATTGTCTGTCTCTTTGCTGTATCTGTTCCCTTTTCTCTTTTCATCACCTCATTATCTTCTTTAATCTCAAATGGAACGAATAAATCCCTCTCTCCATTTACTTCCTCTTAATTCTCCCCCTGAAACTCCTCACACTGTAGATGAAGTCATTTGAAAGCTGGTGCAACATGGGCGAGAGAGCAAGGGAGAGAGGGGAGGGGGGGGCAACTGAAAAATAAAGACAGCGAGAGGAGATTAAAGCGCTGATCAGTGTGAAGAGATGCTGCGCGGAGTAACACGAGTGAGCCACTGTCAGTAGAGAGCTCAGTGACGCTGGGTTCGGGTTTTTTCTTTTCTTTGGTGACATCGGTTCACTTCAGATTGTTTTGCGATGGGTGGAGACAAGTCCCCGTTATTTCTTCATCACTGTGGTATCAGATTCATAACCAACATAGGAAACCCAGAGAAGTGTTCACCAGAGTCAGAGGTCAAACAGGATCTGGATCTCTGAGGAGTCCAAAGAGAGGAGAGCAGAGAAAGAAGAAATAAACTCATCAAATAAAATCAGTGAGAAGTGAGAGAGGAGGGAACATTGTATCCAGGTTGGGTAATGGGAAACTGCACCAAACGGGAAGACAAAATGAAAAAGGTAAGAGCACTTTGTCTCTTACTAATTTATGCTTTTACTATTAAGCACCTTTGTAAATTAAGTTATGAGATTGACTAAAAACCTCTCAACAACTCTGAGCAACTAAGTTCATTCTTGTATTTGGGGGAAAAGCATAACAAAGTATAGGTCAAAAGACCACATTTTTCAAACAGTGAAGAATATTTGTTGAAATTGCTGCACTGCTTAACATGTGATGGAGGTTGCGAGAAGAATGCTTAAAAAGATATCCATTAGGTAAAGGTACATTTACAGCCAATGCAAACACTGATTAAGTTCTTAATGCTGCAGTACTGAGACAAGATGTCACTCATTAGTCCAGACGGCAGATCTATCTCAGAAAGTGTCAGCAGGACAAACAGATAAAGCAGATGTGGAGATCGGATCAGCTTTTCACAGCAAGAATAGCCGCGGATGTGAGAGGATTTCCTTTAAATAATAAGCAGTTTATGTAATCTAGACTTACTGTGCGTGACTTGACAACATCGGGTCTTAGCCTTTCTCCTTGAAATGATTATGTTGTATGTGAAACAGTGTTTTTAAGGTCGAATAACAGCTTGTGTGCCTCCAAAGGGGGGAATGGATGGGCCCCTCATGGGTAAAGTTAGGGGAGTGGGCTCGGAGGAAGAGGAGGATGAGGATAATCCGTACAAAGATCCCCTCTGCAACAGATCGCACAACACCGTGGGGCCGGCCTGCATCTTCCTTAAACAGGGCTTTTCACAGACATTCGTATGTAACAAAGCAACGTGTGCACACTGTTGTCCTCACAGAATCCCCCCCCCCCCCCCCCCCGTGCCACTTCTTTCCGCTCGTGTTGGTTCATTTCCATCCTCTCATCGTGGTTAACCCTGCTGTGTCATCCCATCACTGCTGTGGGTCAGACGGGCCTGCCAACTTAGAGGGTCGATCGTTCACTTCCATGGAAACTTATTGACTGGCTTTGTGCAGCTTACTCAAATGTGATGAAGCAAAGGATGAAGAGGGGGTGAAGGCTGCATTTCAAACCATGCAAAGTGTGCATCTGCCCCTTAAGACTTCTGGTTGACCGCATGGCAATTTGCTTGTTCTAATTTGTAATACAAGGCACAACATAAACTGAAATGATAAAGAACCTTGTGGTGGCTCCTATACTGTTCTTATCCCCTAAAGACCCAGTTTTGAGTGACAACAATTCATTTGATTTTACTAAATAAATATATGTCTAATGCACAATATATAATTTCCGACTTCACCACTAAAGCCATCATTTGAGTCAGCTTCTCTCGATTAGGATTTCTTTATCGATCTAAGTTTTGAATCGGGTGAATAGTTTGCAAAGGTGTCCTCTAATCCAAAACAGACCAGGGAAATATAACCAGTAAAAACACTAAATAAAGTGCTTTCATGTTGAAAATATGTGTTTCTCTGATGCTATTAAGTGGACACAAAGGCAACTTGTTTCTCTTTAAACTTCAAATAGTCAAACACACATGCGGTTCAAATATGGTTAAGAGCAACCAAGATCTGATGTATCATAAAGATAATGTCTTAAAACTGGGTACATTTATGACTTATGATTTATGGCTTCTGGCAGACAAGGAGCACTAAGGAGATACTTCGTCATTATGGCCCAAATAAATGAACCATTATGGATTCATCTAGGTTGGACTTTTAAAAAAGGACATTTAACCTTTTACTGTTTTAAATTGAATTAGCACAAACAAACTAACACACTTTGCAAACGTTGGTAGTATTGTCACAGCAACGGAAACAATTATTAGATGTTAAGTAGTAGGGGAACTCATTTACACTAAACCTTGCTGCTACGTTTCCAAAATAACTGTCCAAATGATAAACTCTGTTTTTCCATCTAGCATAGCACCCAAGATAAAAGGAGGAGTGCAACAACTTTAGTATTATGGGATTTCTCCTATCTTTTCTTTTTGTATGAATATGGATTTTACAAAAGTTTTTGTTGGTGTCCCATTGTGAAGACCATACTCATATTGATACATGCAATGTGTTGCACTAAGAAATTAGGCAGAAGGAAATGAGGTCATAGTTGTATACCCCATATTGTTTTTCATCCAAAGCCCTAGGCCTTATGTTCTCTATACACAGACAGGGCTTGTGTGAGCTTGAGTGCTATGTGCAGGAGAGGATCTATATGTGTACTTATACAAGTCCTAACAGTGGAAATGTGTCAAAGGTACAATTGAACCTCCTACATCTCATGATCTCCAGATGTTTGTTTTCCGGTCAACTTCCAAAAATAATCATGAATTGTCATATATATAATAATCCCTAATCCATATAGATTAAGAGTTTGTTTTTCATTTGGATATGCACTGGTTTTGTATATTCAATGCAGATTACTGAGCAACTAAAGCAAATAACATAAACTACTACATTTGCAAATTGCGTTGAGGTATAAAATCCTGACTATAATTCATGGGCTTAGATTTATAGCAAATGGACAGTTTATCACATTTCAAATTCCATTAATCATTTCTTTCATTTTCAGCTGTTTGTGTATCTTTCCTCTCAAGTGGTTGTCTGGGTGTTTAAATCCGCCTGTGTTTATATTTGTTTATTATGCCAAATAAATGTATAAAGTACTTTCTTCAAGAACAGAATGAGGTGAGACGCTAACGTCTTTCTTCCTCCTGCAGGACAGAGAGCTGAGACCAGAGGAGATTGACGGTGAGTGATTTCTCTGCAGCAAACCTCAGTGTGTTTCTGCTCTACATTATATAATAAACATGTTCTATCTTTCTTTTCTTTTTTCTTTTTTATCAGAACTCCGCGAGGCCTTTGTGGAGTTTGATAGGAACAAAAAAGGCTACATCAGTCACAATGACCTGGGGGAGTGTATGAGGACGATGGGATACATGCCGACAGAGATGGAGCTCATCGAACTGAGTCAGCAGATTTGTGAGTAGTGCTGTGAAAAGGGAATTAATAAGATTGAATTAATACTGATCCATTATTCATATCTCTCATCGATACAATTCTTGTTCAATTCCCTAATCAATTAATGATAACGTGTTGGGGAGATAGAAAAATACAGGTTTTTAAGTGATAAATAAACAAAACAATGATAAACCCTGCATTTGGGGTAACTATTGGTTAATGCAATTGATTACCAATCATTTCTCATGCTCTATACTGTTGTAATTTATAAGAGACACGATGAGAGTGGATGGTCAGAATAGATAGCAGAGGATGATGTGGCGCCTGTGTGTTGCAGGTGGAGGTAAAGTGGACTTCGAGGACTTTGTGGAGCTGATGGGACCCAAGATGCTGGCAGAGACAGCAGACATGATCGGAGTCAAGGAACTACGTGATGCATTCAAAGAGGTCAAGATATACTGTTACTTAAATCTGTTAATCTACAGACATTCAAAAAGTGATGAGATAAAGCTATTATTAGTGGGATTACTACCTGTGCCTATAGCCAAAACGTCTTCTGGACAACCTTTATATTGGAACAGGTTGGGAGATATTGTACTGGCTTTTGACAGGGGTATACAAAAATACAGTTTATGTTCTTTGAAAAAGTTATCTTGATAAATTGTTCATATACTGTAGCTTCCCCCCAAAGCGGGTCTAGTGGGCATAGTTGCAGGCTTCTTTGAAAGCAAACTAGTGTATTTCCCAATCTATTCAGTTTGATACTATACATTGAAGATATTCAGGAGTCATCCTTAGCATCTATCTCTCTGTGTCCAGTTTGACTCTAATGGTGACGGTCAGATCAGTTTGAATGAGCTCCGTGAAGCTATGAAGAAGCTGATGGGAGAACAAGTGACAAACAGAGAGATCAACGAGATCCTCCGTGACGCCGACCTCAACGGAGACGGCCTGGTGGACTTTGAGGGTAAAATACTTTCTTTTTGCATTTGTGGCATATTTTTGGCAACTACATTAATCCTAATCTTTATCCTACTCACCCCTTTCTCTTATTCTTTCAGAGTTTGTGCGAATGATGTCCCGCTGAGCAGAATGCCCACATGTCACACAATGTACAGCCAGACATAATGCAACTGCTGAATCTGCTTGTAAGACTACACATATAAAATTGTATTTTTGTATTAAACAAATAAGAATACAAAAAGGCTTTGACTGCACGAATAGTATCCAGAGTAGAAATAATATGACTATCCACTTCTGACTAGGTGCAATACAAAGATAAAGCACTTTAATAGCGTAAAACATATCAAGCGCTTCTTAGACAACATTTATGACTCTGTGTTTTTTAGCTGTTTTTTTATATATCAATGTTTGAGCTTTAAGTGTAAAAAAAAAAGTGTTTGGTAAAATGGAAAAATCATTTTTAAAATAAAGGAATGTACATGAAGTTTATGGCAAATTATTTCGACAAGGTAAACATGAAGGATGTGGCATACAATCACATCATGAAATAACCAGCCCATTAATATGGAGCTTTAAACATGGACTGCATGTACAGTGTCAATGACGTAAAATGATTTAATTAATGGTAACTCGGCAAGGGGGGCATTGTTTAAAAGGGTATTAAACAAGAAATTGCACTGCATGTGCTGAGGTCAACATGAAGTGTAGGAAAGAATTAAGCCGAAAGTGCACCTTTAATATCTCATAGCATGCAGATCTCATTGTGCCAGCACTCGGAATAACAACAACCAGAATTAACCAGGAAAGAGGACAAAACAATTACATTTAAATGAAAAACACAAAATAACTGCAATATAAGGCTACATTAATAAAATAACCTGACACTTCTTACAAAATCAACAGTTAAACAACACAAAAGCAGACATATTTTAAACAATAAAACATCCACTGCAGGTGAAGCAACACACATATTAAAGATAAAGAGATCTGCAAAGTGTAAGTTATACTCCTGTTGGGCTGCATGCTCACACTAATGGCGCTTTTCCACTGCAGGGTCCCACTCGGCTTAGTACGGTATGGCTAGGCCTCGTTAGGCCTCGTTAGGCCTTGTTAGGCCAGGCTCACTTTATGCTGCGTTTCCATTACAGTTTAGTAGCTGGGGCAGTAACTATAGTAGCGCAGTGTAGGCGGAGCCGTGACGTCATCTTCAATGCGAAACACAAAACCAACATCAGCCGTTAGCTGTTAGCACTCAAGCTCACAGCTCCTCATATCTGTTCAGAAACTAGACAAAAGTTAAACAAGTACAAACCACAAACTGTCTGTGTCATGGCGAGTACAGTCGCTGGTTTATTTATGTCTGTATAGGCCGTTGTTGTGAGTGTGGACGGTCGGAGCCAGGGGCGTCGCCTGGACCTGAAAACATTCGGGGCTTAGCCCACAGTGGCGGGTGCACTACAGTGGCATTTTTTACTGCAACACTCCCCACACGCACACACACAATACACCCGCGACTGTTACAATGAAGGCTCGATAATCAGCTCACAGCATATAGGCAGGGGTAAAGTGGCCTCCTCTAGGGGGGTCCGGGGGGATGCTCCCCGGGGAAGATTTTTTTTTAAATATTGAAGTTAAATGCATCAATCTGGTGCACTTTGAGAGCAAAATGAAGAGATCTATGGATACCTCTCTCAACACCCATATGAAGCAGAACTGTAAACAGATGTACTTTTTCTTTATGGATATTTTACTAATCACTCCCCTTTTAAACTATATTCTTGTTTTACTGCCATATAGTATTTCATAACTGTTTTTCCTTTATTCTCTTATTTTTTTTATAACTATAATGATTATATGAAGGTGTGCCGTGGAAATAATCTTTTGAAGAATTTGTGACCAAACCGTTTGAGACCCACTGAGATAACTTAAGGCCCCTACACACCAGGCCGATATCGGCCGTCTTGCGTTGTCTGGCGAAAACGGGTTCCTTGTCGCCCAAAGTGAATTTGGTGTGTCCCGAACCCTCGGCCGTGACACGCCTTATTTGGCCTTTCACGGTCGACACCCGGCCGATTCAACATGTTGAATCGGCCGGGTGTCGGACACAAGCTATCGGGCCAAGAAACCACTCTGATTAGCTGTTCAGCTAGCAAATGAGAAGCGAAACGGAAGTGAGGGACGTAAACAAACGATTTAAGGCACAGGACAGCAGCTAAACCCCAGCAGGTGATACTTAAAGACATCAAACATAGCCCTTAAATGTCCTCTCTTACCTCCCACACATAGCAGGGACATCTCTGATATCGGCGGGAGGGTCCCCGGCTGTCCTCTGCTGAGAGCTCCGTGATTTGTTTGGTCAAGTCCGGTTTTTCATCTCATCGTAAATTTAGCAAGAAGTGGCCATTATTACATTGCTGACTCAATAAACTACACACCCGCCAGAACACTGCGATCATCAGATGCAGGTCTATTAACTGTGATTTTATAGTATGTCTGCACTTTATGTGCTCATTTCATTATTCATGTATTTTTATATTCTAAAACATGTTTTCGATGGACGAGAGTGAAAATGGAACGCACACGCTATTTGTTTGTTTATATCAGTCTGTTCTTCTTCTCTGTCTTCCGGTTGTTGCCTATTTTGAATGACGAATACACACTACCGCCGCCTGCTGGTAAGGAGAGTTATTGCCACTCACGCATGCGCAGTTCGTACGTGCTTGGCTGAAGTCTTTGCGGTGATTTCCAGTGCGACACACGGCCAAGACGCAGGAGAACTCGTCGATGGAACTGTCGGTGTTGGGTGTCGGCGAGTTCTCTGATGACTGCCTGGTGTGTCAGGGCCTTTAGACTAAAGTTAAGTATCTAAACACTCAGAGAGTCCTTTAGCTCACCTGAGTTTCTCAGTCTGAGAGGAGAGGACTCTCCTCCAGCTTGTTGTGGAACAAACAGCTCCTTATGTCCGTTAGTGCAGCTAGCTAACCAGATACTAACAACACGGTCCCTGCTGGCACCGGGCACCGGGCACCGGGCACCGGTCCCTCCCTCCCCCTCTCTCCCTCTCTCTCTCTCTATCACACTAAATGCGCTATTGCCACACACACAGAGCCAAGCTTGAATGACACAAGCACACGTTTATTTCCATGCAACTCTCTGATTGGTCTGGTGTCATGCCTCTGTTGCATTCACTGAACACGGGAAATTACAGTGCTGCCGTCCTCTCGTGTCATGATGAGGTTCACGTAAAGCACGGTTAATGTATTATATTATTGAGGGAGAATTGTCCGGGGCTACAGAAAAAACATTCGGGGCTAAAGCCCCGGATGCCCAGGCCAGGCGACGCCACTGGTTGGAGCATATACAACGTTAGCTTAGCCAATCTCCATTCAGAAAACACGCATTTTAAAAGGTTTTTCGCCTGCCGTCTGTTTGCAGACTTGTCAAAGCATTAATTCATGGTTTTTACTAACCGGTATCAGTATGTTGTTACTTCGGCATCATTTTTGAAACGTGTATTACAATTAAATCATGGTAAAATATGTTCATTTTGTTGTAGTTGCCAGCGATTCTCTCACTAGTTTAGCATACTCAGCCCGGTTGTTGGCCCGGAAAGAACCTCGATTTTGGAGAGCCAGAAAACTGTGAAAAAGTACCCGCTAGCCAGAACTACGCCTAGTAAGATTATTGAGGTTCTGTAGGGATTAAAAGTCACAAACAGCTGAATGGTCTCATAAACTTTACAAAGGTCACCACTGGAGGATCCACCAAGACCATTACATTATTAGCATTTAGCATGCACCTGTTCACCATCATTGCGGGTGTGTTTGACTTGAGTCTCCTCTTCTTCTACTTAAAGGTAGGGTAGGTAAGAATGGAGAAACCAGCTCGAGTAAGCTAGAATTTGAAAGTACACAACCGAAAAAAATCTGCCCCTTCCTTCAGACTTCCTTACAGATCCCCTCCTCCAACACACACGAACGCGCCAATGACCAATGAGGGCACGAGATAAGTTTGTGCACGAGATGGAAGGCTGACAGGCAGGTAGGCCATCCAGTTATCTGCCACGGGCCGGGGCAGATAATTGGTTGTGCTTTTTACAGCACCACGGCTTCCACAGATGAAATATTTGTATATATTTATTGTCAAAGCATTTAATTCATTGCTATCGGGATGTTAAGCATTCATGGAATATAACAAAAAGTGTTTCTGAAGTGAATTACCTACCCTACCTTTAATTGGGGGTTTTCTGGGAGTTGGAATGATTTAAGTTGCATTACTGCCTCCTACTGGTTTCACTAGTACATAATTAAATGGTCTGGTTTGCATAAAGAACACACCTAAATGTTTATTTTCTCTTTCTATAAATTATATTTTGGATGAACCTGGACTAATTTCGTCATAAACCCGTAGCCACTTCAGAGCATTCCTGCATACAATCAGGACATGAACCACTATCTTATTTTCTTGACATTAACTTTCACATAAAAGCCATTTGGAGCATTTACTCAATTACTGTAGATTCCGAGTTGTAGGTGTGTCCTGTTGATATATTCTAAAGCCATGAGTTACACAATCCAGGAGTTTCAACACCAACATGTTAATATGTCAAATTGTAGTCATCTCAGGTCTAAAACTGCCCTGTTGGATACCTTTCTGTCTTTCTTCAGTTCTCTGCACTTGTTTTACAAGCAGTTTGTGACTTTTTTCTAGTTTTTTTTCCTGTTCTCCAAACCCGATTAAGCATAACAATAATTCTTAACACAAATATGAAACTTTTCATGAAATGTGATAACTTAGAAGGGATTCATCTCACATATTTCTGAATGCCATTTACAATTCATTAAGGGGATCTTTTAGTAATAAGTAACAACAACAACATTTTTTAAATCAAGATTTTCCTTTTTATTGAAAACTTGGCCAGGATTCTGTACAGCAGAGAGGGTGTGCAATGCACAGGGGCAAGAAGATGGGGGCAGGGGGCTCTAGGGAGTCAGTTTCCCATGATGCATCATACCCTGAACCGAGAATCAAGTTGGTAAAACAGCAAGGGGAGTCTTGTTCCCTCTCTGGCTTCTAAGAGGACTGTGGAGGGGGAATGAAGTGAGGGACTAAAAAAAGGGAGAAAATGGGGGAAAGCAAAGCTCAGCCCATAGGGGAGAAAGAGAAGAGTAGACAGAGAGGGATGGAGGGTGGTCCATCTTCCACTGAGGTGGGACAGATCTTCACCCTTCCCCTCACTGCATTATCACATCGACTGTTTAAGGTACTGAGGTAAGGCCTCAGACATCTCTCCCCCTTTCCCTCTTCCTCCGCCCCTCTCCCTCACTTCCGCTCTTTCTCTTTCTCTCCTTCCCTGAGCCTCACTTGCTGGCCATGGTGTAGCAGCCCTGCTGGTGCCACTGCATGTCACGGATACGCCTCACGGACTGGAACTGAGGATGGCGGGCACCGAACTCGTTGAAGTGCCTGAAGTCTCCCTTCTCCAGCAGGTACTGGCTGCCACGGTATCCGGGGAACTGGTATCCCACCCAGCTGGAGAAAACAGAGGAAACATGTCAGCACCGGATACTGTAGGTACATTTTCTTTCTATCAGTGATAGCTTCAACCACTCACGTTCCACAGCTGACAATGATGCTGCCAACTCTGTCGGTGAAGCCGTAGGAGAACAGGCTGGGAACGTCATCATCCATGATCTCCATCTTGCGGCCCTTGAACTCTCCAACCTCGTACAGGCAGATCTTGTGCTTCTCAGCGTCCTGGAGTAGAGGAAAACAGGGAGAAACACTAGTTTAGCTGGCAGTCGAAAGTAAAAGAGAAACTTGTGAGTAAGATATCAAGCATGTTTTTTTGTACCATTTTGACGGGCCTGAAGGACAGCAGGTAGTCGTTCTTCTGGCAGTTGCTCCAGGAGTCCCAACGGGGGTACTCTCCCTTCTCCAGGATGTACATCTCACCACAGAAGTTCATCTGCTCGAAGCCCACGAAGCTGCAGAGGAGACAATATTATGAAGCATCCATGCTGCAAGATGACTGCATATAATTACTAAAAAAAAATCTTCTTTGAGACTTACGGTCCGCACTCAACGCGCAGAGAACGCACACGGTCCATGCCCATCTCACACACATTCATGCACTCGTTGCTGATCTCGATCATGCGACCCTGGAAGTTCTCCTGGTCGAAGACGTACATCTGGAAGGGACAGATAAACACAGATGAGTCAGTTATCTGTGATTTGATAACCTGAATATATCCTGATATCCCGTGAAAGAGATACCCACCTTGTAGGACATCATTCCCATCTCAGACTTCTTGCTCTGAGCAGCCTTTCCGTCGGTCTGGGAAGAATTCTTGGACTTATCACTGGACATGATTGCTGGGTGGAAAGAGAGAAAAAAATCATAAGAGTGGAAACTTTGATATGACAAATCAATCCTGTTTGCACCAGTGAAAGTGTTTCGAGATAGAGGAAAGACTATAAATGTAACATTTTTAAAAGGTATTTAAAATAAACTGGATAATTTAATTTAATCTATGCCTATTCCTTCTGATTTGTATCTCAACACACCTGTTGGTATACAGTATGTGTTTGTACCTTACCTGTGTGTGTGTGCGATGCTATGAGTAGCCTCACTCGAAGTGTGTGCGGCTCGAAGTGCGCACCTCCTTTATATACGCTGGCGCCCACAGGAGAGGGATTATGGGTAGAGAAACAAACCTGCTGAGGTCAGAGACACGAGACAAAAGAAACCCCACATCATCAGAGAGGGACGGTCAGAGGGGGCGGGCAGCGGCAGAGGCTGACTGACAGGAGATGGAGCTCAGACTGAGGACCAGTTACTAACAGAACAAATCTGATACAAGTTCATGTTTCTGAAATCAACTTTTAGAGGTTAATCATGCCCCCTAAATCAAATAAGCAGCATTAATTTATATTTCATATATTCTCTAGTCTACATACCAATCTACTTATTCAAATTATAAAGCAGTATACTTTGACACATGAATACAATGACATGAATGTTTAACTGTGGCTAAATGAATCTGCAAATTAAAAGCTTTTTCATGAATGTTTTTGAATGTTTCCAGATAATACCAGTGATTAACTTGTGTGTTACATTATAGAGAGGCGAAGTCCCTCCCCTTCCGGTGGGACTCATGGGACCTTATTTCGGAAAAAGTTTGTATTGAAGTCAATGGAGAGAGAAAGATTATCTTTCGATCCCGTTTGAATTGTGCCACGAATTACACATATGATGTTTGTCAATCTTAAATAATCATTTCCATGTCAAAAAAGTCACAGTTTGTCGTAAAGCTGTTGAAATATAAGACTATGAAAAATATGCAACTAGAAAGACTAGAAAGACTACAAATCCCAGAATCCCGGTCCTGCATGCTGGCTCTTACGGAACCGACTAACTCCCCTTTTGTGTATGTACAGCTCTCAACATGCCCAGACTTGTAGTGATTTTCACCTCTTTTAATACTTTTCGCCTCTTTCTAAAAGAAAGAGGTTAAATGTGCCAACGTGACGGCCGTCTTGGTGTGTGGTGCGAGACGGGAGATGTAGTTCATTGAGCGGTTTCACACAAAAAAAGTGTTACTTCACAGTTTTACGACATATTTTTATTTTTTTGACTTGTAAAATTATCTTTTAAATTGACAAACATCATATGTGTAATTCGTGGCACAATTCAAACGGGATCGAAAGATAATCTTTCTCTCTCCATTGACAGCATAACTTTTCCGAAATAAGGTCCCATGGAGCTCAACCGGAAGGGGACTTCGCCTCTCTATATCTGAATAAAATAGTCCCAATTTGTTGTTGGGTTATTACAGTTATTAAACCTCTCACCTGGAACATCCCCACACAGAGGTTTGAAACCATAATACTCTCAATTGTTTGTTTGTAGCCTTTATTTAACCAGGTGAAAAATCCCATTGAGATCAACGATCTCTTTTTCAAGGGAGACCTGCGGTACATTGGTTACACATAAAAACAACAGAAAACAAAAAGGACATCACAACATAATTACAGGGGTATACATTAGCAACCTATTCACAATGACAGGTATCTAATAACATTTCATCCAGCCGTGCTTTAAAATGATGCAAGGGAATCAAAATGCTCAGTTTCAAAAAAAATTGCATAGTGTTCCAAGCTAGAGGAGCAGCGCACATAAAAGCTTTAGTACCTAAAACAGTCCTAGCACTTGGCACATGTAATAAGAACACATCCTGGGATCTCAGGCAATAGCTACTTGCCACTCTCTGTGAGATCAAAGAGCATATATAAATTGGGAGTTTACCCAACATAGCTTTATAGATGAATATGTACCAATGACTGAGCCTCCGTACAGTAAGTGAAGGCAGACCTGCCTTGGCATACAGGGTACAGTGATGAGTAAGTGCTTTACAGTTAGTAACAAATCTCAGAGCACTGTGATAGGCGGCATCTAACCTTTCCAGGCAATGGGCAGGTGCATTCATATATATCAAATCACCATAGTCCAGCACAGGTAAAAAGGTCACAGTGACTAGCCTTTTCCTGGCTTCAAAAGAGAAACAGGACTTGTTTCTGAAAAAGAAACCTAGTCTAACCCTCAGCTTTTTAAGCAGATTAATGACCTGAAGTTTAAAAGTAAGACAATCATCAATCCAGATACCAAGGTATTTATAACAGGTAACCACTTTGAGTACTTGTCCTTGCATAGTAACAATATCCAAAGCAGTCTCTGGAGTCTTTTTAGCTTTAGAAAAGAGCATTACCTTGGTTTTCTCAACATTTAAAAGAAGCTTAAACTCAGCGAGCTGAGTCTGAATAATGTTAAAAACAGCCTGTAATTTAACAACCGCCTCCTTAATCGAGGGACCTGCACAGTAGTCTACATCACGGTATCATCCGCATAAAAATGTAAAGTAGCAATCTGGGCACGTTTGTTTTAATTTAGAATTGGATACATGTGACTGCAGGGAAACTTTGAAACAACAGTTTGTCATCACAGCACAAGCACGTTGTTCTCCACTTTTTACACCATTGACATAACCAGATCTCAGATATGTGTCCAAACAGGTGTAGCCTATACCTGCACCCAGGAAGGTACACGCACTAAATCGTTTGTTGTAAATTAGACTTTATTGTTTGAACAAATAGCACTGAATTTAACTTTATAGTTATCTAGCCTTTCTATTTTCATATAAAGACACACCAGTTATCTTCTTCTGTGTATCACTGCCTCTCTACTCCGCCGTTAATCCCCACCCCACCCAGGCCCATTGTGCCGGGGCACGGGCTGGACTGCTGACCGGGGTCCGAACATACCGGAGCGCCTTTGTTCCGCAGCCCCAGCAGCACTATGGGATGTGCTGAGCTGGCCCTGGAGCAGGACAACAGCATGCAGCGGACACGTAGCCGACCCCGGGGCGCGCCTCACCGCCGGGTCTAACCACTGTGGCGAATGGACGGTGTGCAGAGCCGTGAACGCGCAACAGCAGTCGCGCTCCCCGACCGTCGGTATAAAACTGAGGCGCCAGGTTCCCGCAAAGCTCTACGCGAGGCAAGCCGTATGCGCGTATCACTTTCAAGCTCTTCCAATAAAGTGCCAATCTAGGTAAGGATGCTTTCTGCTCTCATACAGCTCAGAGTCAGACAGACAGACAGACAGACAGACAGACAGGTGAATCCTAGGTGCTTCACGCAGACACTGAAAAAAACAAAAGCACTTTCTGAATCACCTGTACAACACCTTAATTTTTTATCAGAATTTAGTTTCAGATTTTTTTCAAAATTTAAAAAAGATAGAAAGACAGAAGGTATATTAACAATTTCTGGCCTCCAGATGTTTACATTCAGATTTTTTGGGGAGTTGTACCGCTTGAATGTTATACAGAGATTTGTGGTGTGCCTTTAGAAGTGAGAATGTAACACTACAAATAATTGTGCAGAAACAGTGTGGAATATCTCATTGTTAAATCATTTATGCTTTTAAGAAAGTCTCTAAAGGTCCTGTTTTTTTCTTATTTACATCTCAGGAGTAAAGATGTACAGAACTACAAGATCCCCAATGATGCAGCCCCTGGTCAACTCTGGCATGGGCATGGCTCCTTTCTTCAAGGTAAACACTCACATTTGAGCAACAATTCTGCTTGATGCTGAAAGCTAAAAGAGGATACCCTTTATACAACTGTATTGCCAACATACTTCTTGTAACTTGATGCCTCGTATCCTCTGTCTCCCTCAGGTGACTGTGTTCGAGCAGGAGCATTTCCAGGGCAAGTGCCTGGAGTTCACCTCCGAGTGCTGCAACATCCAGGATTGTGGACTGGACAACATCCGCTCCATCAGGGTGGAGAGCGGAGCGTAAGTGTCTCAAACATTTTACACTGTTAAAAAATTAGACTTAGTATTCTGACAGTACAACATGTTAATGAAATATACTCAAGTAAAACTGTTATCCCCCTTTGTTTTCTATGCATTAATCATTACAAACAACAAGAGGAGATAAAGAGGAGTCATGTGGACGCTTTAAGCACCAAGAAAATGATGTTGTTGACTATGCAAAGGGAGCTGAATTGTTTTGTTCTGAATGAAAGAAAGCCTATTTTGGAAATGAAATGCTTTTGAGCTGCATCATTTAATAGAGCAACCCTGTGACATAGTCAGAATTTAATTACACCAGGATCTAAATTAGATGGCTCTTCAGATGACCATACAGTGAAGTGATGATAACATCTCTCTCTCTCTCTCTCTCTCTCTCTGATAAGCTGGGTGGGTTTTGAGCACCACGACTTCCAGGGCCAGCAGTTTATCCTGGAGAGGGGAGAGTACCCCCACTGGGACGCTTACAGCGGCTCCCTCTCCTACCACGTGGAGCGTCTGATGTCTCTGCGCCCCATCTTCTGTGCTGTGAGTACATCCTGTCTCTTAGTGTTCAGGTGACATTCAACCTTTACCCGGGGATTCCAAAGTCAAACTTTTTCTTCTCCCCCCCCCCCCCATGCAGTCCCACCAGAGCAGTCGCATGCTCATCTTTGAGAAGGAGAACTTCATGGGCCGCAGTTCTGAGATCTGTGACGACTACCCCTCTCTGCAGGCCATGGGTTGGATGATGCCCGAGGTTGGCTCCATGCACGTGCAGTGCGGCGCGTAAGTGAACCTGATTGATGGGATGCATTTTATCAGGACATACTCGAAATGCTCCTCCACTTCCAAGGATATTTACACTTGAATATATATCCATTTCAAATCCGGCTACCAAAATATTCATTTACAAATAAACCTGCACATAGTTTATGTATTAAACACACAAGCTAAATCTCCAAGTGTGTCCTAAATCCCCCCACTTGTCACCACTCCCACTAACTGTTGTTTGTTTCTCCTGCAGCTTTGTGTGCTACCAGCACCCTGGATACAGGGGCCAGCAGTACATCATGGAGTGTGAGAGGCACAGCGGAGACTACCAGCACTGGAAGAACTGGGGGTCCCACTGTCAGACCCCCCAGATCCAGTCCATCAGGCGCATCCAGCACTAAGAGGCAGACTGAGACAGACACAGCAGCTCCCCTCGACCCCTCTAAACCCCTTCCTTTCTTTCTCCCCCTCTTCAATCCTTTCCTTCCTCTTGACTTGAGATGCAACAGCCGCCCCCCAACACTACTGATTTATAAATGCTGCCAGAGTGTGATAAGAGACAATATCACACTGTTAAAGCACAGGGAAACACATGCTCCACATACACACACGCTGACACTCACATTGTCTTTTTACTTGGTTTAGAGGTTCCTACGCACTCACACACAAACACACACCTGCGCTGTACTCCTTACCTGAGCTGGGCGATGAGTAGAGTGAATCCTCAGCGAGCTTGAACAGAGGGGAGGTGAAGCTCCAACATGAAGACATGATGAGAGAAAGCCCCCCCAGCAGCACCCAGTGCAGCTCAGATGTGTTGTTGTGTGCAGGAGGTTTACTAATAAACTCAATTTCACTTCATGTCTTCTTGTTTTATTATAAAAGTGTGAATATGATGAATAAAATGTACTCTCTTTGCAGTATGAAACACCGGTTTTAAAGATGTTTAAGTTTGAATTCTTTCTCTATACAGAGAAAAGGGTTTTCTGATTGCATAGGGTTTTAATACACACAATGAGGAAGAACTATCTAAATGTCTATACATTCTCAAAAGTATTTGGATAAGTTTCTTATTATGTTTTGATGAAACACACTTTATAGTTTATTTTTTCAAGTCAGGAGTTCAGTTGTAATTGAAACCATTCTTTTCAAGTCCGAATATGATTAACTGCATTTAAACCTGTGTACCTACCATATTTAAGGTGCTAAGAAATGTTTTGAATTGGGAAAATAACAGGATATAGAAACATCTTCAGTTTCATTCATCACAAGGACATGCATTATGTTTACTCAGTGCGAACTTAGGAAAAACATGTAAACAGACAAACGTAAAGAAAGGAGAGAATATCTTAGGAAAACGTTTGGCAAAAATGCTGCAAATAAATAAAATACAATTAAATTCACAATTGCTGTTTTGGCCATATGCAGCATAAAGAAACGTGCTACTTACACACCAGTATCATTGGACCTATTTACTTGCACGTTGTGTTTGTATTTTACATTTCTTTGTACATAACAAATAATCCACACCCCAAAGGTGAAACCATTTTGAGTGAAGCCTCTGCAGGAAGTAGGAACATTTATTGTAGAAATCAGTCCAGACTCAAAAGCGCCACAAGGAACATTACCAAACATAACTTAACAGTAAAACAAGGAAGACAGAAGTTTCCTGGAACATTTCCAACTAACAAAGGCTAATATTGTCAACATTTTTACAACTAAAACAGTAATAGTCATAATTATAAGTAATAAAACACTCGCCTAAAACACACTTTTTGATTGTTTTTGCAATGCATCTCTTTCTAAACTGTTTCTATATCGCAGTTTTTCTCACTTTCTGCAGTTAAAACAAACTTTGATGAATATTTCTGCTTAGTAAACATACAATTACTGAACTTAACAGCAATAACATTTTTTTTACATAAAATCAACTGCTTAATACCTCGAAAGAATAAAAAAAGTCACTTTTTGACAATGGTTAACTCAACTCAGGAACTGAATAAGTGCATATGAACTTCACAGTCCTCTTTTTTGTTGCTTCATGCGTTATGATGCACATGTTTGCTTTTTTGTCTTTAAATACAAACAGATAGTCAACAAGTCGCTCACAAATCTCTCACGTGATTGTCAGACATTTATAATCAGACCTTATTGATCTTCAACTCTTAAGCTAAATGAAAACAATTCAGGAATGTTTTTCCATGAAATCAAATAACATGAACTGGAGAAGACAAGTAGAAAAACACCTGACAGATGCTTGTGAAGCACCCGAGTGTGACGATCCTTGTTAACTAGCTCACCTCACAGTAGCAAGGAGCGATGATAAAGTGTAGATTGGATTGTCTCCCACAACGTCAATATCCTCGTCTCCTTCCTCTTCCTCAACCTCTGAGCACTCTGTCCAGCTGAAGAGCACGGGATCAGGGGCAGGACTGGAACCGCCAATCACATCAACGTCCTCGTCTTTGTCATCCTCCCAGCTTCCTGTCGACGTCAGACTGAACTCTGTTGCTGAAAGTGAAGTGGGTGAAAGTGAAAGCTTTGCTTCAACACAATGTGACAGAGTCTGAGGTGAAGTGTCCGAGTCTTCAGGTTCTCCGTCCACAGCAATCATCTCCTCCCCGCTGCTCTCCATCTCACAGTCAGTTTCTCTGATGTCGATTGGTAAGCACTCTCCTGCAATGGGAACAGTCTCTACAGAGACTATGTCCCTCCTCTCTCTGGGTGCTGGTTCGGAGACACAGTCTGCAGATTTAGAGCTCAGTGCGCATGTTTCAGAGGTCGGCTGTGCTGTCTGCTCAAAGCAGACCCTCTTAGGCACAGAGGATTCCTCACCCGTCTCCTCTGGCTCTGTGTGTCTCTTCTCTCCCCTCCTTGTTTCTTCCTCTACCTCTTCCAGAGGCTGGACTGTTAATTCTTCTTCACGTGTCTCTGGATTTCTCTCTAGTTGTTCACCCATTACACAGGGCTCCATAGGCTGTGGCTCAACAGGTAGTGATGAACTCTCTGTAGAAAATGATAATTAGACACAGATCATGTCGGTGCAAGGCTATCTGACAGACAGCGTGAATCAGGAAAAATCGTCTAAACACACACTTACTCCACGCCAAATAGATGTAATAATACTTTCTTAGTCAGGTCAGAATGGTTGCAACAGTGGAAACCACGTCCATATTTAAATATTATGCGTGAAACTAGCTCTATGTAAATTAAATCTAAATATTTATTGCACCACAGAAAGAGTCTTTATATGTTTTACTCTCCAGACTCAGAGAAATCTGAATCAAAATTATGAAATCAAACTATTTCTTTAATATTTATAAGTATGTTCAAAGTAAATGTGTACAACAATATAACATGTAGAAGAGATGTATATACTTTTAAATGTGCATCATCGTATTCATTTCCAATTGTTTGTGGATGTTTTTATCACCCTGAATGGTGATCTACAGATCTATCTGCCTCTCAAAGCAAATGTCACACACTCACTACAGCAACTAATGGACTGCTTAGCAGAGATAAAATCCTGGCTGAGCAAAAACTTCCTCAACATCAACGAGAGCAAGACCGAGGTCATCTTTTTTGGACCGCAACCTCCAGCCTCTCCGGTTGATATTCTGGGCTCTATAAAAAAAAACATCCTCCCCTCGGTCATGAACCTTGGAGTGACCTTCACCAGCACTTTTAAATTCGACAAGCAGGTCAGCACCGTAGTAAAATCCTGCTTTTTTAAAATAAGACTATTGGCCAAAACCAAGTCGTATTTATCTTTTAAAGACTTAGAAAGGGTTGTCAACGCCTTTGTAACCTCGAGACTGGACTATTGTAACGCTCTGTATGTGGGTATGGACCAGGCCTCAATCAAACGCTTACAGCTAGTCCAAAACGCAGCTGCACGTTTGCTGACTGGCCACAAAAAGCGCGACCACATCACCCCTATTCTGGCCTCACTACACTGGCTTCCAGTTCGGTTCAGAATTGATTTTAAAATCCTTTTATTTGTTTTTAAAGCACTAAATGGGCTGGCTCCGGCCTATATAGCTGAACTGCTCCAGCGCTACACCCCAGCCAGAGCTTTAAGGTCTGCTGACCAGCTGCTGCTGGTAGTGCCCAAGACCAGGCTAAAAACCCGAGGGCACCGAGCCTTCGCAGCAGCTGGCCCTAGGCTCTGGAACACTCTGCCCCTCCATGTGAGGTCGGCCCAGACCCTAGGGGTTTTTAAATCAAAACTAAAAACACACTTCTTCTCTCTGGCTTTCTAGTTAGAGCGGAGCACGACTCCTGACTTTTCCGTGTGTTTTATTTTTTATTTTGTTTTTTAAGATATATCTGTTGTAATTTATTGTCGTTTATTGTGATTTGTAGTAATGTGTTTTTATTACATGTACAGCACTTTGGCTCGACCAAAAATCGCTTTTAAATGTGCTTTATAAATAAAACCTGATTTGATTTGATCTCTTACCATTAGATAAACTGTCTCTTCCGGGGCCTGCTGATGAGGGTCGCTTAGTTTGAAGTGGCTCCACAAGAAAGGTTGCACGGTCCTGTAAAACAAATGAATCGTATTCAATCATAAAGACACATTTACAAACGAGAGTTCACAGCAATGCTACCAACTCACTTACTTATGTAGTGTACTTGTGCCAAGCTTTTAGCTAAATGCCAACAGGACACAATGACAATGCTAACAGGCTGATGTGAAGCAGGTGTACAAATCACCGTGTTCACCATGGAATGGTAAACATTTAACAGGTATTTGGATTAAAATCTAATTTATTTGACATAGTAAAGTTTTTACCTGAAGGCATTAGTTAGAAAGAGTTAGCAGGCTTTATTATCTTTTTTGTTAACATTTTCATTTGAAATAAAATGCAATAAACATATATACATTTCTCTTAACACTCACTGTTTGCAGACTACTCTGTGTTTCACCCCCAGTATCTTGACCTAGTATTAAATTACCTTCTATATTACTGCTAGCAGATAGGGTGTCACCAAATCAACCAGGATGGAAATCATGAGGATTAGCACTTCAAATAACAGATGTTTAAAAGACACATTTGGAGATTGAAAAAAGGTCAATGCTCACCATGATATTTGCCTTTCTTAAGCGGCTCCTGATTGGGTAATTCTTTGTGCTCCATGAAATCGGCGGAGCTGCTTCCTGGACGCTGTCCCGTGGCTGTGTCACCGATGATAAACTGCTCGTTGTTTTTGCAGATTTCTGAAAAATACATTCACACACAAAAAGAGTTGATACATTTGATTTCACACTCTTTGGCTGTAACAACCCAGTTTCTTCCTCACATGTATATGTATCAGACTGTGCTGTACTGGCGACAGCAGAGATCATCAGAAGCATTATCAGAGTGGAGTTAGCAACGTTTTCCACCTTGACTTCCTTGCAGCTGCGCTCCATCACTTTGTCCGACAGCCGGCCGCTCCTCTCCGGTTTCAACACAGGCGTATGAAGCAGCTTCACGTCTCTCTGGTCCAACATCGGTGTGGTTTTTGTTCCACTGGATGACACCGGCTTCCTCACCCTCACCCTCTTTCTGTCCAATGAGAGCATATACGGCTTTATTCTTTTCCGTTCTCTTTTTTTGTCTGGTGCCGTTGATCCCTCGGTGTGTTCAGGTGGAGCGGCACTGCGAGCAGAAGACAGTGAACGCCTCAGAGGTGTTTCAGCCTCGTCACTCTGTTGCCTGGCAGGATGAGGTGTATTCTTTCTCTGAGCAGTGTTAGGGCTCTTGGGGGTTTGGGTCTTTCTTCTTCTTCTGTTTCTTCTCGGGACAGTGTGCAGCTGGCTGGCCTCGGTGCGGCTCTGAGCGCCCATCTCCGCCTCTTCACAGGCGGAGCAGCTGTCCATGTAGTGCTCGAAGGACTGGAGTAAGGTGTACAGCGTCTCGTTCACCTCCCCCTCCCCCTGCCCCAGCTGAACGGGGGTCCCAGGGTTTGCTACGCTGGGGCTGCCCCCTCCTCTCGCTACAACAACAACCCGTGGGGACCCATTGGAGCCTGATTTGTTTTGTGTCACAGTATTTCCACAGGAGGCCACGTCGCTGCTGCTGGTTGGAGGAGGAGGCTGAGGCTGAGGAGCACCGTTGTTTTTTAAAATATCGAGGTCGTTCATCACTTCCTCCAGCAGACGTTCAATGGGTTCGGGCTGTTCCTCGTGAGGGGGAAGACGCGGGGGCCTCCTTCTCCTCGGCCGCCCAACGGGAAGACCGTCCTGTTGGGAAAAGAATGTATCAATTGAAAAACAATCAAAAGTACTAATGCACGAGGTTTTGAAATGTGTCATAAAGTACTTTTAGATTTCTACAGTGAGTATACAATAAGTTTGATATCTGAGTTGTTTTCCTCTTCGAGCTAAATGATTGGTCAGAACTCAAGGGACATCTTGATTAACCAATCAGAAAGCTGGATCCATTATCTTTTCTAACAAATGGATAGGATAACATTTCAGACTGTCAATATTACTATAACTTCATTTTATTATGACTTATAATATTCTACCAAGAAGAAACTTTTAGACATTGACAAAGATGTGGAGGGCTGTAGTTAAAAAACACATTTTATTTTTCACACTTTCTATGTTATTTATGTTTACAAAAAAAAATGTGGTTCCATGGTCATTTATCAGGATTGTTTTTTAATAAAAAAAAAACATTACAGATTTTAAACGATGCTAGCCCTGATTTATATTAAAAATCTAAATATAGTATTTCAAGGTGTAAAATGCTCTCAAACTGACACTGGAGACTGACTTAACTGACAGGTCCTTGTTTTCATATTCCATTTAAGTTGTTATGTTAAATAAACTTGTGTTTTTTTATAAAATGTGTGTTTTTAAGTATGTATTTTATGCCCCTTGTAGCACTACACAGTAGGGATTGCTTTTAGTAATGAAAGGAGCTTAACAAATCAAATGTATTTTTATTATTATTATTAATGTTATGATTTGATTGTGTTAGAATAGGACAGCGTTACGTCTGTACTCACCGGGTTAACCTGCTGCGTTGTACTCTTCCTCCCACGCTGCGTTTTCCCTCCTCTCTCCCCTATGTACGGCAGCACGTCTCCCACCCCCCACACTTTTCCGGGGCCTCTTTTTTTCGTTGACTTCAGGAGCTCTCTGGGCTTCAGGAACAGCTTCCTGCCTGCAGCCCCTCCGCCCTGTCCCGTCCTGGGCGTCCCCCCCCAGACCCTCTGCAGGAAGAGCTTCTGCAGCCTGCTCACCCCCACCTCCTGCACATCCACCGTCTGCGTCAACCCTCCTCTCCCCCTCCCTCCTGTTCCTGCTCGTGGTCTCCTGGCTCTCCTCTCTCCTGCCCCCCCTCTCCTGGCACCTCCCTCTCCTGCGCCCCGCCTCCTTCTTGCTCGCCCGCTGCCGACGCCCTCCTCCTTGTCCGGGTTCAGGAAGTGCTGAATGTATCCTGTGATGTTGCCATCAAACTGAACCAGATTCTGGTCCTCCCATTCGTTAGCTGCTGCTGCTTCTCCGGCTGCCTCCTGGGGGGCGGACCACCAGCTCTGAAGCCCAGCAGCACAGGGGGGCCCTTGGCTGGAAAAAGGAAGAAGAGTCTGGGGGACAAAGGTGTGCTGAGGTACCAAAATAGACGTGAACCCAGCTGCTGAGGTGGATTCCTGCATGGAGTCCATGAGGGCATATGATGGTTGTTGTGTTGGGTTTTCATTAGGTGGGTAGACAAGGGATATGGGAATGTAGGGAATTTGAGGGGGAACAAAATGGGAGGCGGTCTGTCCTAAACTCTGAAAATCGGCTATATTGATGGTCTCAAGGGGGGCTGCTGGTTGATAAGCGGGAACCAATTGCTCTTGCAGCTCCTCTGTTTGAGTCCATGAGTCTTTTCTACCATCTGGCAGTGTGTCTTTCCACAGAAAGGTGCTCCCATCCCTCACCTCTCTCCTCCACCTGCCCCCTCTCCCTTCATCCTCCTCAGGCATCAGCGGCTCCGTCTGCACCCCTGCCTCGGTGTGCCCCCCGTCTCCTTTCACACTGCCTCTCTCAAGTTGTCTTTTTGTGACCTCCACCAGCCCGTGGATGCCAAGCTTGGCCGCAGCAGAGATAGCTTCCTGCTTCTCCTTCTCCCCCTCGCCTGCCATCTCCCCACAGTACAGCAGTCGGACCATGTGGAGCAGGGTGCAGGCGCCTAGAGCCCGAAACTCCAGGAGACGGCTCTGTCCTGCAGGGGGCTGTGGCGTGGAGGACAGAGTGGAGGAGAAGTGGGGGCTGAGAGCGGACAGGACACAGCTGTGAGCCGGCACTGAAACACCTGCAGGACAGGACAGGTGTCAGTAATGATAATAGCTTCCACAACTACATAAAACCATATGAGATGGTCTATCTGCAAACCTTCTATGTGCTGATTAAAAGAAGACACTATAAAAGGTAACAGTGTTTTTGTGAGTGTTTTTATACCTTCTGTCTTGAGCAGGGTGTCACAGAACTGGCTGCACTGTTGCTGTCTCTGCAGCTCGGCGAGGAGGAGGGCTTCAAACCCCGGCTTCTGGTAACACCACATCTCCCCATCTACGTCTGAATAAAATAGTAGCCTAAGCAATACACACATAATCAGTCCATATTTATTCATTATGACAACATTCATTTAACTGACATTCATTTTTGATCATTACTCTTTGTTGTAATGATCCGATCTATTATGACTATCAATTCTGTGATAATCCAGAATAATATTAGTTGTTTTTTATTTCTTTGTAATTTTCTTCTTTTTGTCTTGCTGAATTTCTATAAAAAACAGACACACACACTCATCCCCCTTCTCACACACCCCCTTCAAAATAAAAGCCCTATAGATATAATGTATCCTTAAGGCCTGGGCCTTACACCAGGCCGAAATCGGCCGTCTTCGGTTGTCTGACGACGAAGCGTGCCCTGTCGCCCAAAGTCAATTTGGTGTGTCCCGAACCCTCGGCCGTGACACGCCTTATTTGGCCTTTCACGGTCGACACACGGCCGATTCAACATGTTGAATCGGCCGTGTGTCGGACACAAGCTATCGGGCCAAGAAACCACTCTGATTGCCTGTTCAGCTAGCAAATGAGAAGCGAAACGGAAGTGAGGGACGTAAACAAACGATTTAAGAAGGCACAGGACAGCAGCTAAACCCCAGCAGGTGATACTTAAAGACATCAAACATAGCCCTTAAATGTCCTCTCTTACCTCCCACACATAGCAGGGACATCTCTGATATCGGCAGGAGCGTCCCCGGCTGTCCTCTGATGAGAGCTCCGTGATTTGTTTGGTCAAGTCCGGTTTTTCATCTCATCGGTTTATTTGTCAGTATAAAGTTGCAGGATTAGTCTCAAGTACCTCAACATTCTCCTTAAGTACAGTGTCTAAGTAAATGAGATACTGTCTACTACTGTTCATTTACCTATTGTGAGTCGCCTCGGATAAAAGCATCACATGGAAATGTAAATTTAGCAAGAAGTGGCCATTATTACATTACATACATTACTACATTGCTGACTCAATAAACTACACACCCGCCAGAACACTGCGATCATCAGATGCAGGTCTATTAACTGTGATTTTATAGTATGTCTGCACTTTATGTGCTCATTTCATCATTCATGTATTTTTATATTCTAAAACATGTTTTCGATGGACGAGAGTGAAAATGGAACGCACACGCTATTTGTTTGTTTATATCAGTCTGTTCTTCTTCTCTGTCTTCCGGTTGTTGCCTATTTTGAATGACGAATACACACTACCGCCGCCTGCTGGTAAGGAGAGTTATTGCCACTCACGCAGGCGCAGTTCGTATGTGCTCGGCTGAAGTCTTTGAGGTGATTTCCAGTGCGACACATGGCCAAGACGCAGGAGAACTCGCCGACGCAACAGTCGGCTTCGGCGTCGGCGAGTTCTCTGGTGACTGCCTGGTGTGTCTGGGCCTTTACGGTACGTCCACACAGCAGCGTTAAAAAAATCTTGGAGGTGGGCGTATCTGAAGCTTGGGGATTTTTTGCGAGCAACGCGACCAACAACCAATCACATGAATCTCCCGCCCCCGACATACAAAGCAAAAAAGCCCGAAGTAAACTGGATATAAACTCCCCAAACAGGCGAAAACCTACCACTGTCTCTGCCACCTCCCTCCATGCCTGGCTCCTCCGGTTTGTATCCCGGTAGGTAAATAGGGACTGGTCATAAAGCACCGGGTGATTCCCTACCGCTATAATTAATTTCTCCTCCCATTTTTTGGAATATGAGGAAATGACCTGCGGTATGTCTCTCCCAGCATACACGCGGTTTGATTGGCTAGCGCTTGTACTGTCAGATTTGCATAAACGGGATTTGATTGGCTGATGCTTCCACCTCAGCTTCAAAAGTTGAACATTGCTCAACTTTTGAAGCCTAACGGCTCGTCCACACAGCAGCGTTAAAAAAATCTTCCAACGCTTCTGCCCATAGAGTGGCGAAGTCCCTCCCCTTCCGGTGGACCTCCATGGGACCTTATTTCGGAAAAATTATGTATTGAAGTCAATGGAGAGAGAACGATTATCTTTCGATCCCGTTTGAATTGTGCCACGAATTACACATATGATGTTTGTCAATTTAAAAGATAATTTTGCAAGTCAAAAAAAATAAAATGTGTCGTAAAACTGTGAAGTAACACATTTGTTTGTGTGAAACGCTCAATGAACTACATCTCTGGTCAACAACACACGTCACCAAGATGGCCGTCACTACTGTCTTGTCAACAAAACGATTGACTACCCTCACTATCACCACAAGGAAACACGTCCTGAAGAATGTCATGCAAAGCTGCCTGCCTGCCTTCCTTTGATTCTCTCTAAACTGCCTGGTCTTTTTAATGTTTAATGTCAACCATTTGTGCAGATAGCATGAAGTAGAGAAGATCGCTGATGCTAGCGTTAGCGTTAGCATTTCTTCCCGGGCTTAAATTGTGTATTATAGAATGATCACACCGGTGACAGTACTATTCAAAGGGTTCACGAAATATGACTACTACTCTTACTGTTTAACATTTTGGGTTACTTAATGTTACTTCATGTTAAGGCTAATACAAATGACAAGGCTGTAATGCTAACTAACGTGCTAGCTACTAGCTAGCTTGATCCAGACACTCCTAGTCCTTTCATCAGACGGGAAGCGAAAGAACGAGCAAGACCCATTGCTGGTATGATAACAACCTGGTACTAAGCACACAGGCATCTTGTTAAAGTTATCTTATCTTAGCCAGCGCCATATAGATAGATTCTATCTATATGGCGCTGATCTTAGCTATCTCTTAGTGGAGGAAAACAATTGTGACATCACTTACGCGACTCTGAGATTTGTAGTCTTTCTAGTTGCATATTTTTCATAGTCTTATATTTCAACAGTTTTACGACAAACTGTGACTTCTTTTACATTGAAATTATTTTTTAAGATTGACAAACATCATATGTGTAATTCATGGCACAATTCAAACGGGATCGAAAGATAAGTTTTCTCTCTTCATTGACTTCAATACATTATTTTTCCGAAATAAGGTCCCATGGGGCGGAAGTAGATGGGCGTGACTTCGCCACTCTATTCACTTTGAATGGGGCGACGTCACTTTGCGCCGAACTGCATTGTGGGAAGCAGAGCGGAGATTTCCAGGCATCTCAGGATTCAAAAGTTGAGCAATGTTCAATGTTCAGATGCCTGGAAATCTCCGCTTTGCTTCCCACAATGCAGTTCGGCGAAAAGTGAGGCAAAGTGACGTCACCCCATTCAAAGTGAATGGGCAGAAGCGTTGGAAGATTTTTTTAACGCTGGACGGGCTTACAGGAAGCACAGGAAGAGGGATGTTTTTTCAAATGAAAAGCCTAGAATATTACTGTATCCAAACAAGAAGCTTACATTACTCAGCTCTGGACATTGAGGGTATACATTTGGTTGTCTATACATGTTTAAACCTTTATTTTCAATATTAAGTTGCATCGCTATTTTCCTACTCACTTTCAAGTTGTACAACAGTCATTGCATTTGAGCTTTAACAATTTTGATTAAAATAATTTCACTTTTCTGCATTTTTCCACTAAATTCAGCAACACACTTACTTGGTTTCTCTAGCTAAAAGCAGCTACAGACACCATTCAACTATTAAACAAAAAAAATCTGAACTTTTAACTAAGTTCAGCAACAAATTTGCGCAGCTTGCAGCGATCACACGCATTTTCAGCAGGAAATGCATTTTCTAGTTGACTGATTTTGCACATTTAGTTCAACATTGCATTTTAAAATAACTTTAACAGTTTGAATTTCAGTCTTTACCACACATATTAATAAAAATTCTCCTTTTTTCCACAAACAATATGTATTTTTCTCCGTCGTGCATTTTAAGGCCCAGACACACCAGGCCGAAATCGGCCGTCTTCGGTTGTTCTGCACACATGCAGGTTAGCATCACGGCTGGCAGCCAGCTAAGCTAACTCTGCGCCAGGAGCAGACAACTAGTCAATGCAGATCACCTGTTAGTTAACATTAGTGATGTGTCGGTCGCGAACGAGCCGATTCTTTTGAACGGCTCTTTGGTACGAACGAGGGGAACCGAGTCGTACTTGGTGAGAGCCGTTCTTGTTATCGTTCAATCGTTGGTCCGCACTCACTGCCTGCCAAAATCCACTCTCCTTTTAAAAAGCTTGATTTTGTTCCCCAAACGTATTCTGTGAAGACCCGCCCCTACTCTGTTTGGTAGGTTTCAGCACGAGGAGTGAGATGGGGTGGGTCTTAACGGAATACGCGAGAGAGAAGTCATACCAAGTGGTACAGGACAGGTAGACAACGTGTTTTTCGGATGGAAAATGAGCCAAACGCGAAAACGCAGCAGCATTTGGATTCACTTCAACCAAAACCCAGTCAGTGATAAAGCGCACCATTTGTAAAGGCAAAATATCCTTTAAAGCAGGATCAACAAATAATCTCCATCGCCACTTAAAAACACAGTATCTAATATTAAGAGTTGCATGAATTTCATTCAAGGCAAGGCAACTTTATTTACTTAACACATACAGAGGGTAAATTCAAAGTACATTCACTGACATGATGACATGGATATGGCGCCACCTTGTGTCATGTTTACAATGCCGATTATTGACATTAGGTCTGGCAATACAGTCAATCATTATCCTGGTGATTATTTTGCAGATAAACCTAGTAACCTTAAAAAAACGGCTCTTTTGAACGGCTCTTTTGAACGGCTCTTTGAAAGGAACGGAGCCATAAGATCCGGCTCCCTTCAAAGAGCCATAATTCCCATCACTAGTTAACATGTCATGCACATTACGTTATTGTCTCTAACCAAAGTTCTGAGAACAACCTGAGCACTTTGCACTACTTTCTGGCACTAAAGATGTAAACAGAAACGTGCACAGGTGACACATGTCGGATTCACTTACCTATCAATGTTCTTTAAAAATTATGTCCGACGTCAAATATTAACTAACATTCGTCTAAAATATCGATGTATCAGAGTGAGATTAACAAACATTATATTGTTTAGTTGTT